AGAGGCCTAATTGTCTAATTCTAAAATCGATCGCGATCCCTCTCAATTTGACATTTGAAAGATATTCACTAACTACACGCTACAGCTATTTGAATTTGATGGAGTTTTTTAAGATACTGAATGAACAATATCGTTAATGTAACATTAATTGAAATTGTCTAAGGCAAGCGTTAAACGTAAATAATACTGTTACTAAGTTTTTATTGTGTCTATTGATCATTCAAATCATCATTTGTTCGGAAAGCCATTGTGACTTTAAACGTTACATAATTCTAAATAACACTATCACAGTCGCTATACCTTGTAAAGGGATTGCAATATATTTTAAAGTTCTCCAAAAATTGTTATCAAATAAAGGAATTGCGGGTTTTTTTTTTGTTGTCATATATGACGTTGCTGTTTACGTTTTTCAATCTTTTCAACTGGTAGTTTCCAAAAACACATTATAAATTTTGTGTAAAATCAATTATTTTCAGTAACTGAGAGTAGGGTAATTTCATTACAATTATAAGAATAAATAGATGAGGTCCTGGAATAGATCCCGGAGGTACTTGAAAACATACATCGTATATCATCAAAATATACCAGTCTAAGAGCGTATAATGGTTCCAAAAAAATGAACGGGAAAAAGATTAGAAGAAACGAGCTCGTCTGCCAGATATCGAGAATACCCACTTACGTTTAAATCTTGGGCGAATGTATATGTCTAATAGATTCATGTATAAATGGGGTGATTTGGCTGACAAAGTGTGTCTATTAAGACTCTTTAAGAATTTCACGTCGAAGTAAAGACCCTCTCAAAATCATATCACTAAATACGTTTTACGTGCAAACAAAAACAGGGGCCAATGGTCTAATTTAAAAAAAAAAGCGCAATCCCTTTCAATTTGACATTTGACAGATATTGATGGACATCAAACTATTTAAAGTGTGATAGCGATTGCGCGAAACATTATTGTCAAAAACGCATTGTAGTGTGTCTACAGATCTTTCATTCATTTCATTTTCATTTTACATGTAGAAATTTATTTATTTACTCGACATTGGCAGAATTGTGCGAAATGCGCAGATAAGCCATTAATAGAAGAAGAAGAAGCGATTGCGCTCCCAAGATGCAAATAGGCCATGAATTAAAAAAGAAGAAGAAGAAGATTGCGCTCCAAACTTCTTCCTGACATTGAGATGAACGATATCATTACTTTGACGCGAATTTTATACGCAAATCTCTTTGAAAGCCATTGGGAAATATCAAACGAAAGAGTTGAATGTTAACTCCAATCTTTCGACGGGTTTTACTAAGTTTGATGTTTCTTGATAATTCAAATCAGCAAAAGAGATTGCGACTTTAAAAGTTACATAATTCCATAAATCGCGGTCACAATCACTATGAATTTCCCAGAAAAGTGAATCAAAAAGCTGCAGTTAAAGGCCCAATTGGGGCCGTAAGAAGATAAGAAATTAGAAGAGCAATCTCCAAAATGAAAATCTGCAAAGCTACGGGTCCGACAAAAATGTGCTGCATACCAACAGAGGTTCGGAAATTACCGAAAGAAGATGGTAGCGCATGGCTTACTGATCTTTTTAATGACATCTTGATGGATTGGAAAATGCACAGCATCGTGGAGGAAAAGCTCGCTCTCTATATAAAATCATGCGAAAGATATCAAGCTAACCTCGAATGCCAGTAAAACCAAAGGCAAAGTGTTCAAGACAGCAATAAGACCAGCAATACTATATACACACAGAGAAGCTTCACACCGCCAAAAAGCGAATGCTGAGATGGTCAAGAAGTGTCACATTAAAACACAAAGTTCGTAATGAATATATCCAATAAGGTAGTACAAGGTGTCCCCAATGGCCAATAAACTCACTGAATCCAGACTCAAGTGATATGGTCATGTGATGAGCAGATCAGATAATTTTGGAGTGAGGAATTGTCTTGCCATCACTACAAACGGGAGGAGGGAGAAGGGTAAGGGATAGACCGCCATCCATATGGATAATGACTGTCCAAAGTAGGGTTGCTAGATTTTTTTCAGCCTGTAAGTTAAGGACAAATGCTTGAATAAGCAGAAAAATACAGACAATTAAAAAAACCAAGTTTTTAATATATTTTAGATGATGTTGTTGGATTTGATTTATTTCAAAAATCAATACATTATAAAATAAAATAAAAATAAAATTGACAAAGAGGGTTTACATAAATCCTATAACAAAACAAACATTAGTCCTCTTTTAAATAATTTATGAAATCAAATTGATATATGGGACAGAATCAGTCCCAGTAGGACTTTTGAATTTATACCTGAAATATGGGAAGTCTGGCAGGACTAATCCAAAGTGACATTCACTGGAATAAGCCACAAGTATGACTGCAACAAAAGTGAGACATGCTCCATTATGGCCGTTCTTTTCACCCACAAATTACCAAATTCCGAATTAACATACTTACAATTTATTTTAAAATAATATTGATTTCATATTATTATATTACCATTTTCAACAAGTTATCCTGTTCTGTGATGATGATGATTTATTTTAATACATACAACAATGAACTTTGTCTGCATATTTTTTTTTATTACCTATCACTGAAATACCTTTTAATGTGATAAGAATCTACCAGGTTTCATAAAATAAAAAAGACATTATGATATGAAGAGGCAACCATGATTATGACTAGACTCGTTGATAGCAAACAAAATCTGCTGGGATCTAGTTAATACTAAATAATAATTAAATTACTAATACCACTCTATATAATACTTACTAATCACAAACAAAGTCTTCTTGGATCTCCTCAATATTAAATGATATGGATATATATTTACATGACTACAATGATACTACACTTCATTTATACTTTACATGCCTTTCAGAATTTGGAAATTTATATTTTAATATTCTTAATAACAAATATATTCTTAAAAATAAAAGATCTTTTGCAACTTCAAAAAGTATAATTTAAAAATAATTATGTAATTAAATAAAATATATTTATATGGATAATTACATATGTCAACATATCATTGTAATCAGTGTTAGTTTACAGTCTCTCTCGCTAAATCAAGCACTAGCATAGGTTTCAATTAGGATAGATTATAATAATATCAGTAAGATTTTTACAGTTTTATGTTAACACATACACTTTACTTAAAAATTACCTAGAGAAGGTCTTAGTGTAGTAAGATTAAAAAATAACAAAATTATATGATCATGGTAATTCCAGTTGATTCTCAAATTGGATAGCCAATATGTCAGTTGTCCGTAAAAGAGCTGATGGCATCTTAATACTAGCAGGAGTTTCTAGGTCTTTGACAATCACTTCTGAGCCATCCGATTTCCATTTTGATATAGTAGCTTGCAGTGTTGATAGCTCATATGTCAGGATTTTTACTGGTTCACCTATAAATTACCTCCATTTATTTTTTATATTAAAAATGTAAGATTTCTAAAGTAGGTACTCAAAAAGCAATTTGCTACTAAATTATTAGGTATATATAAAGTTATATCCAATTAACTTAATAATCACTGTTGTAAGTCTTACATTTTTTAAATTAAAACACTTACCAAGAAGTTCATTGATAGCTAATAGAAAGCTTTCACGTAGTTTAGCTCTAACTTCTTGCTTGTTATTAAATTCATTTGGAACGTCTTCTTGTGACATATTTCCTGATTAAATAAAATTTTATTATTTGGAACCCGCCGCCAGTTTCGTTTTTGTTTTCTTTGAATTATGGCAAAGGTCAGTTCACCATGCAGCCTTGTCCTTGTTTTTAATGTCAAATTATCAAATCCTGTAAGTTATTCACATAAACAAAAAACCTGTTGTTCGAAATAAAAAACACAACTTATGTATTGACGGAATTTTTTCCTGTAGGATCGTGCGAAAGACAATGGAAGTTTGAAATATCCAGATTTCTAGTTTATTTTTTAACGTAGAGACGTCATTCGTCTTTTATAATCATCATTAAATCTATATCCGCATTACATTTTCTTTGACCTTATCTACTTACTTACTTACTTTATTTGACCTAATCTATGCCTTATCGATAAAATCTAACTATGAGCAGATAAATAAAAAACACTAAATAGTGCCAGTTTTGGTGCTAAAAGTCAAACTTCAGTGCTAACTCTATGAAAATAGTGTCAGATCTAGCACCGAAAGTGCTAAGCTGGCAATAATGACCCCGACCAAGTAGAACTTGATAGTTAGCTAACCATGTAGAGGGCTCTTGCCCCACTTCGAATAGTGACGGATTTACAAAATTGCTGCCAGTAGGCTAGTTTAGAAACACAGTCATATTAATTACCCACATTTATTCTGTTAATTTATGATTAGGAGTAGTAGAAGAAGATATTGAAACGTATAGTGTATCAATATCTTAATATCCTATGTACACAGAAAATGTATATATTTTGAAACACTATATTGCTATATCGATACGTTAAATTCGCTATCTCGCTCGATATTTTTATAGATATAGGATTTAGAGGATCATAAAGGGTTAAGCATTAATTATTATGTGTTCATATTTTAAATGTTACATTACAATATTTGCCACATTTACGCTACAAACAAATATATAAATATTTTAATGGTGAATTACATATTATAGTTATAAACAATAAACTACATAATGTGCGTACAGTTAGTAGTTAGTAGTTAAGACGATTGTTTGCGAATGCGCAGTAGCACATTTTCAATGAGGAAGTATTCAAAAAATTAAAATTAGTTCTTGAAAACACAATATCTCATTCGATATTAGATTTCGATATGTTGGCTTTTCGTTTTCTATAAATCGATATCACTGTTTCTTCGATATCGATTTATACGGTACTAGGCATAGAATTAATAAGTACTGTTGTACGTAGTACTTATTAATTCTATGGTACTAGGTAGTATGTCGTCACATCCGTATACATCAAATCAACAAAATTTATTTTCTCTGTAGAAAACGTTTACTCTTTGACCAGTATTCAGTTTCCAGTATAATATTGTAATCTGTTGCAGTCTTTGTCTTTGGCTTTAACACGATTACGTTTTGGATTACGTGCACTAGTAAATAAAGTGATTGTTTAATCCAAAATATATGTCGCTAATTTTCATTACGTACCTATATTTTTAATCAGTGAATATCTACTTTTAAGTGTTTTAATTCTAATTTTAAAATATGGCAGTGCTCGCTGCTGCTCAGTTGTTAGACGAGCTGATGGGGAGACATCGCAACACAAATCCTAATGAAAAGTTGAAAAAGCCTAACTGGGAGGATCCGGAGGTAATTTAAATAAATTTTATCACTTATGTATAAGGCTCATAACCTCACATCTGACGACGATTAGCCATGCACAACTTGATAATCAGACGTTATCACAGCTTTATGTTCATGTTTAATCATTATTGACCAGATAAAATTATGTTCTTATTTATTACAACAACAAGGTTTACTAGTCTTTCTTGCAGGGCATAGCACAACTTGGAAGCCTTTATAATGTAGCAAATGATTTTGATATGACCTGCTATACTTACATAAATTATTTGTTTCAGTACTGTAAATACTATATGGTGAAATTTTGTCCTCATGATTTATTTGTGAACACACGAGCTGACCTCGGTGTATGCTCCAAAGTACATGATGATGAAGTTAAGGCTCTTTTTGAAAAGGCAGAACCTTCATACAAGAAAGCACAACATGTGGAAGAATTTTTGCGATTCTGTAGACACATGATCAATGATGTTGAAAGTAAGTAAATTTTAAACGTGTATATTTGATATTAAACATAATTATTAAATAACATATGACAATTTTATAGTAACATATTTATGTAGGTATTTAAATAAGACTGTTTCTTCTATGACATTATATTTCAATATTTTATTCATGATATTTGGTCATTGATTGTTAATATAATATCTAAAATTATCTGGCTAAACTTAGGCTAGGTTAGCATAATGTGTTTATTTAATACAGTATTGCTACATGGTAAGGTTTCTACAATATATCCAATATAATAAATGTTCAAGTATGAAATTTATCAAAGGCTATGTTTGTTGTTTCAAAGGAAAAATTATGAAAGGAAAGCAAAGACTAGAATTGATGAATTCAAAACCAGAAGGACCACCTATGACACAAGCTCAAAGTGAAAAGAACCAGGAACAGGTAATATTTTTTATGATTTTTTTAAATTACATTATGAAGTTATGATGCTTGAGGTATTGTATTAAGAAAATCTGAAATAATAAGGGTTCCAAAACATCAAAACTCAAGAAAATATAAAAGAATGGATGTTTTAGTTGACTAATTCAAAGGGGAGTGGATTTTTTAAGCATTTTTCATTAAGAATATTTGACCAATTAGTTTAAAACCAGGACCTCGGTGATAGAGATACCTTCAAACCACTATAAGACATCTTTAACATTACATGGTGCAAAAGCTATGATTCAGGTATATCTGGCACAAATAACTAGGTACATGCTAAATCCATAAGAGTTGAAATCTTGGGAAAATACATGTGATCATGGTTCTTTGATAATTATCAATGGAAATGTATCAATTAATATTTATTCATAGTTTGAGTATTGAGTCTTAGGTAGAAAATAACTAGCGTCCGACCGAAGGTCTATTTTTGGCTGAAGCCGAAGCCGATTAATCGGCAATCGCCACAACCTTCGGCAAAAGCAGAAGCGGAAGCCGATGGTTTATAATTTCTCAGTAATTAATTTTGTTCAATATTGTCTACAAGCTACAATGAATATTAAAATTATTTCAAAACTTCAATATTAAAGGTTATATTGACTGTCTCATATAGAAGTTGATTTAGAAATACAGGTTTGACAGTGAAGGCGCTTGTGCACTACACTGAATTTTCATGTCCGGCGGTCCGATTTTTTCCGGCCTGATATGTCAGGCCATATGTTGGTAATGCTAGCTTGTGCACTGTCAGGAATATTTTTCCTGTCTTCTACGTCTTCGCACGTACAGTAATAGAGCAAGCAATTACCAACGTTTCAAAAATCTCATCGTGCCTATTGTAAGTGACGTGTAGCTTCACAGAGAGCTACCCTAAAATGTGCCGCTTCGATCCGGAAAAAAACGGACAAGTGCACAAGCTACTCATCCGAGTTTTTCATGTCATTCGGGACCGGAAAAAGTCGGCCCGCCGGATCTGAAAATTCATTGTAGTGCACGACCGGTCCATCGCTCTCTCACTCAGTCTTTCGAAACAGTTCGTTCAATCTCTACGGTAGCTCGGACCTTCGGCGAAACCTTCGGCTTCGGCCTAGTTTTGGGCCGAAGCCGAATGTTTCGCCGAAGATGGTTTTTTTGGCCAAAGGTGCCCGGTGAAGTAGCAATCTTACTATAAATTTCTGGTCTTCCCTGTAATATGAAAGCCAAGTGTGAATGGCTGGTTTTTTTTATTTTACTAGATAGCATATTAAATAAAACTACTGACAATATAAAACTTATACATTTTCATATGCATGATATATATCAGATAATTATCAAATATTGAATATTTTGATATCTATTATAAATAGAAGATTTTTGTAAACCTTACATGTGATACAATACAATACAATACAAAAATTCTTTATTGTACACACCATTGTTCACAAAATTATGTCAGAAATAATAGTATATGAGGTAGTACAAAGGCGGCCTTATTAATTAAGTGATACATGTAAATTAAATTAAATATTTTTTTCAAATAATTGATAATAACAATTTGGTAACAACAATTTTCATGGCAACCTATCATTCTTTCAGGTTCAACTTTTATCTGAAAAAATATCTTCTCTGGTGCAAGAAGCAGAAGAAGCTGGTACGAGAGGCGATGTAGAACAAGCTCAAGGTCTGATGAAGCTATGTGACAGACTTAAGGAAGAGAAAGAGCAGCTTTTGAAACAACAGGAGAACAGGTATATGAGCTTATTTCTTTATTATAAGATTAGCAGTTTTCTTATTGGATTTATTTGGAGGCCAGGGAGATCCGTAATTTGTAAATAATATTTTCAGGTCAAAACTTGAGACACTTGTGAAGCTATTTTAAAAATTAATGCATTAAAATCAAGTTTTTCATAATATTGTAAATATGGAAATAAATCAAAAATGTAATAGTGAGTGTGCACTTTTTAACCTTATGACAAAAGAATATTTTCCATATTAGAGAAAACAAAACATAGCAAACTGTCATTGTTTCTGAATTACATTACTATAGAAATATTTCTGTAGTAAAGTCTGTCATTTTAGGGTTTGAATTGCATTCGAAGAGCTATCATAGGTCTATTTAAAAAAAATATATCAGACTGACTTTATTTTAAGATTTAATTTCATAATATGAAATAAGAAAGGAAACAGCTACCTTTTGCTACGATGTCACTAGATGCATTAGTAAATTTTTAAGTCAAAATTGGACAAGATTCTTTTTTTAATTAAAGAATCATTTATCAAGTAAAGAGTAGAATGCTATAGAACTATACCGTATATAACATAGTATGTACACGCATCAGAGTTTTATTTAGGTTTTATAGTGAGCATTTACAAGAAATAATAACTTACATATTTTGTTCTCCCAAGCCATTGGTCAATGACTGCTGAGCTAGCAGCCGCTCAGGAGAAGCAGATGGAAGTGTGTCCGGTGTGCGGTGCGTTCCTTATTGTTGGTGATGCTCAACAACGTATTGACGATCATCTGTCTGGCAAACAGCATGTTGGGTATGAAATTGTAACAAGTTTTTTAATACACAACACATTTGTTACTTATTTTTTAATTAATTACTACATATTTGTTAATTAACACTAAAATCACACTTTAATCGGTTTTTAGTTATAATTAATTCAGAGAAACCATTGTCGTAAGATTTACAATATTCTCTGATAAAGTTTGTCTCATATTTCCTATCACAGATATTTCAAGCTTCGTCAAGCTTACGAGGAAATGAACGAGGCGAGGGAGAAAGAACAGCAAGAGAAAGAGAGAAAGCGTAGAGAAGAGAGAGATAGAGAGCGCAGTTCGCGAGGAGGCGGTCTAGGATCTGACAGACGTGACAGAGAACGCATGGAGAGAGACAGAGAGCGCGATAGAGACCGCAGTGACAGGGGAGACCGCGATAAAGACAAGGATAAGGATAGAGAACGTCATCGGTAAGTTAAATCTAAACCTATATTTTGAATATAAATAAAACTGTCTGTCACTTACACCTTTGGAACAATTGTGATGAAATTCAATATAGTGATGATTTAAGGGTCAAAAAGGGACATAGGGTAATTTTTTAATATAAATTAAATACTCCAACTGCCTGTTGCACAATACAAATATCCATTAAATTATCATTAGTTTAAAGAGACAGTTAGGTTGCACAAAAAATCTTTAAGTTTTAATGGTAACTATGTTCTAATGAATGAAATGAAATGAAAATATCTTTATTCAAGTAGGCTATTACAAGCACTTTTGAATCGTCCAAAAAACTTTTTTCCCCTACCACTTGTTCAGGACGTCTTTTAGCTGACAAGAAGAACAAGCGAAAGAAACTTATCAGCTTTTTATCATAAGTAATGACATTTACATAAATCATGTCATTACCAAAATAATATGTATTATCAATTTATCACAATAGTAAATACAACTTTCAAAGTCTGTAGGACATAAGTTGAACATATAATTAGTCTTTATAGAACAAAGCGAAGGCTATTAATTCCATGCATTGCGATCCTTAAAATAATCATCAACTTTATAATAGCCTTTACTCACAAGTATATTCTTTACATGAATTTGAAATTTATTTATGGGTAGGTCAATTACATTTTGTGGAACTTTATTGAACATAGCAATACATTTACCCAGAAATGATCCTCTGGTTTTTTGAAGTCTGAAGCTTGGAACGGCAAGTTTATCTTTATTTCTTGTGTTAAGATTATGAACACTACTTTTTTTTGTGAAGGAATCGTAATGTTTTCTTGTATACATAATATTCTCATAGATGTTTTGAGAGGCAACAGTCAGAATATTTATTTCTTTAAATATTTCTCTTAGAGATTCCCTAGACCGTAAATTATATATAGCACGGACAGCTCTCTTTTGTAAAATAAAAACATCCTGAATGCTAGCCGCAGAACCCCATAACAATATACCATACGTCATTACACTATGAAAATAACTAAAATATACCAATCTTGCCGTTTCAACATTTGTCAAGAGTCTAATTTTCTTAACAGCAAAAGCTGCAGAACTCAGTCTACTTGACAAGCTATCAATATGAGGATCCCATTGCAGTCGGGAATCTAGTGTAATACCAAGGAACTTTGTCGATTCTACTAACTCAACTTTTTCACTATTTACATTTATAAGTGTACTGACATGCCTCACATTAGGTAATGCAAACTTTATGCATTTCGTTTTATGTTCGAAATTTAAAAATTGGTATCTGTAATGTTGTTTTAAACTGATAACATATAGCCTATATATATATATAGTGTAGTATAATAACATACAGTACATTAAATATTTCATTAGTATAAAGCGACATTACCCATACAAATTTGACATTAATTAGAGCTTAAGGGCGTCATTAAGCCTTAATGGAAGTTTGTGCAACTGACGGTTAGAACATTACTTAGAACTTAAAGTTGTCATTTAACTCTAATGGAACGTGTGTGCAACTGGGCGTAAATCTCTAGTCAATAATTAACTAGAATCTTATGGTATTTGATTAAAATTATATTGTACTGTTAGTATTATAAAATTAGATAGTATCTTTGAAATTAACACAATGATGACTGGATATCGAAGGTCAAGTCGGGACGACAAAAGCAGTCGAGATGAGAGAAACAGTCGTGAAGAGAAGAACAGTCGTGAGGAGAAAAACAATAGGGACGAGAAGGGTCGCCACGAGGAGAGAGACCGCGACCGGGAGAGGGAGAGGGAGAGAGAGAGGGACCGCGACCGTGAACGTGACCGCGACCGCAGACATCGCAAGGATAGAAGTGAGTGCTTCAATTAATATCAGTACAGATAAATGAAGGTGGCGTATTGGATAAGCGCCGCGGCCCACGATCGTTTGTTGTTAAGCAAGTTTCGCAACGGTCGGTCACGGGATGGGTGACCAAATATTATCATCACGAGCACGCACGTGCTTCGGAAGGCATGTTAAGTCGTTGGTGCTGGCTTCATTTGCAATCGGTAATACCTTTCAATCCATTGGACCAGCGTGGTGGGTTATGGCCCATCCTTCTTAACCATCCATAAAGTAGACGTAAAAGATCATGATGATAGGTAAAATATCTTTAACGAAAAATGCATCAAAATTTCACCAGCTCCAGATACCCCGTGATGGGACTCGAAGCCACTCGATGCTCAACCGTTGAGTTACCCAAACCCATCAGGACTCATGAATTTTTCAAGCACTTGTTACTTTTCGCTTCTCTAGTGAGCATATATTCATCAATGTTCAGGCAATCCACCCAAACAGCCAAAAGAAATATACAAATATTTTAAACTTTCAATTAAGATTACTATATGTTATAATTATTATATTTACAAAAAAATTGGTTTGGACTCCCATCTCGAGGTATCAGGCTGGTGATTTTTTCTTGAGCATTTTTCATAAAAACATTTATCAGTATAGCATTATGAATTCAAAATTGATCAAATACAATAATATGTTTATGTATTTAAAGTTAAACAGTGTTATTATTATTAATAAGCAAAGTTTAGGGTTGGAGTAAAACACTGACTGCACTTAGTTTTAGTCAAAATTCTTATTATTTGTTTTTCGTCCTCTGTGTATCTTATGTATTATTTGTTCCTTCAATGTACGTTCTTGTTTTATTTTATTTTTGTTCTAATGTTGAGATTAATAAACGTTTCTTATTCTTATTAAAAAGAAACTAACACCCAGTTTCTGAATTGAGAATCTGAAGTTGAGCATGTCTCAAGCCATTTTAAACGTCATTTAAACAGGTTTTAATTTATTAATGTTCAGGTTGATAGAGATTGGATAAAACTAAGACTTTTTGCCATTTGAAAGGTAAAAAACTTAAGTTATTGAGAATAATTAGTTGAGATTTTGTGTTTATCTCAATTCAGAAACTGGCCTTTAGCAAAGGATAACCTTGTACAAGGCTCTATGGAAGTAATATTTATTCCTAAAAATTTGTAGGTTTGCTTATTCTCTGTATAATATTGATTTGGACTAATACTAAAATTGCAATTTTAGCATATTATTATTAAACTAGCGTTCCGCCAGCGGTTTCGCCCGCGTGGTCTTGTATAATCCATTAAACCTTCCTTTTGAATCTCCCTATCTATGAAAAAAACCGCATCAAAATCCAATGCGTAGTTTTAAAGATTTAAGCATACATAAAGTTATAGGGACAGAGAAAGCGACTTTATTCTTAATACAAAATGCTTAAAAAATCCACTTGGTCCCTGGTACCCTGAGATGGTAATCGAACCCACGACCTTGCGCAATCCGGGCGACTGCTCTAACCGCTGAGCTACCTAGGACCTAACGGGACTGACGAATCTTTCAAGCACTTGTTACTTTTCGCTACTACAGATCGTATTCTCATCAATGTTCAGGCATTCACCCAAACAGCCGAAAGAAATATTGTTACAAATATTGAAACTTTCGATAAAGTTGAGAATTTTGTTCTAATTATTATATTTTGATAAATTTTCCATTCACAATGTCATACTGAAAATTATTCTTAATACACCCTGAGATGCCAGGGACCAAGTGGATTTTTAAGCATTTTGTATTGATTATGGCATTGTGAATGCAAAATTAATCAAAATGAAAGCGACTTTATTTTATATTATGTAGTGATTTACTCTGACGCTAAACCTTGATAAATAGCAATGAAAATGTTTTTTAATTACACGAATAAAGGCGATTTTTGTTGTTTTCCGTTAGAATTAATCAATTAACATATTTCTTATTCTCTTGGTTCCCCCAGGATCATCCCACGACCGCTCCCGTAGGCGTTCACGAGACCGCCACTAGCTATTGACTGAGGTATCACAATTACCTCAACAACCGGTAAGTATACCGTTGCGTGATAATCTATATCTCCAGAAAAATTCCTATCTATCACAAAACTACCTATTACGTTTACACCGACGCCTGATCCGTTCCCTTTTGACGTTTAAGTTTTATATACACGTAATTTATACTTTATATCCGACACACCTCATCCATATCCCGTACAATTGTTTAAACTAAAACAAGTAATAAAGTGAACACTATTGTTTTACAGCATAATGTAGCATACCAAAATATCGGTATATGGCAAACATGGGGTGTATTGACCCACAATGCACTCTCGATTCGGTAGTTGTCGGCACACCGACGGAATTCTCAGGTATTTGATTGGTATTATGAATAGTTGCCGGGAGCTGTCGATTGTGGAGGTATATTAACTAATCGAGTCAGTGTAACGATTATGATAATATTACCTCTCGGAATGTGCTGATCGACTCGTCGTCTTTTTTGAGGTATTACAACAAACTTTGTTCCGACGTCGCGTGTACCGGTCTACTGGCGGCGATCGCGTTAGCGATGCCAGGTATTTGTTAGGTTCCTTTCGTCTCAGTTTTACATTTCAATATGAAACACTCAGTTAAAATTAAACACAGTAATTTTAATACACATAGACATTCAGAATTAACATTTATATTCACATCGAATGAGCAGCACTCGTTCGTTTGGAAAAAGTTCACTAATATATATATATTTTTTTATTTATACACAATTGTTGAATGTCATTTACATATATCGAAAATGAGGTGTATTTGTTTTCCTAAATAGAAAGTTCTAGCGCAGCATTTTGTTTGTCGTTTCGTTGCCACAATACCATGTAACGGGATGTGAGGGGCACATGTGTGCGTCGTATTTATTGGATGCTGTTATCACGTCATCTGTGTTCTTCCAGGTACCCAAAACATCTAACATATGGTAACAAGTTTCAATGGCCACACTTATAACAGTATTTACGTGGCCTCCTAAGATAACAATCAAAGTTTATAGGAACTTGATGCCATATTTCTTTGATAAATTAATCAATACCCCTTAAGCCCTATTGGACGAGAACTTTTAATGATTGAATGTGTAATTAATGATCCTATAATTATTTCTTTACAATTTCTTTATTAATTGTTTTCATTAATTAATTACCAAAATTGATTCAACCGGTCAATCATATTGATTTAACCGGTCAATCATTAAATTTGATTGAATCTGTCAATCATTAAATTTAATTCAATCTTGTCAATCATTGAAATGTTCTACGCCGCTTACGTTGTGTTAAGTTCTTCTTACTAGCTTGCTCGATGGACTTTTCAGTTGGCAGCCATGGGAAATCTCCGCATCAGCCCACAAAACGAGGTACTTTTGAAATTAAAGCGAACCCTGAAGACCAAGAACAACAGACTGATGAGCTGCAACGGTTACGAGGTGACATAGAATAGTCACACTTACTCATAAGATTGTATTATTGTTAGCGATATTTTTAATTCGTTTTAATGGATACGAATGCATGTAGTCCGAATACATAAATGGACATTTATTTTCACTGAGACGAATAAGGCAATGTATGTCGATGTAGCTACCTCTAATGTTTGTCCTCTAGGAAGGTCACTGTTATTTCTGTAATCCAGTTTGAGGAGACATTCAGGTATTTATGAAAAAAAATAATATCTTATTTTCGTCAATAATAATGTGTTATTGATTTCGCTTTGTGTTATTTTAGTGTGAATGATAGGGCAATTTTCAAGGATTAAATATTTAATTAAACTCTATTGTTTTCATTTTACTATCTTTTCTGCTAAACTAATTTGCCACCAGGTGTTTCGCTCGCGTGTTTTATAGATGCCGCCTGTATTATACGAAAACGCCATGAAAATCAGTTGTATAGTCGAAAGATCTCAGTGAACAGACAGCGGGAGGCGATTTATTCTCTATTTAGATAAATTTATTTGTAGCTAACTAAATATTACATTGGTTACTTATTTTCATATTTAAACAATCACATGAAAGTGGTATTTTATGTCAAATGTCCATTATAATTCAAGCCAAGTCAAGTCCAAGCAACTGAGGATATAACACATACATTACTCGTATTTCAAATTCAGTAGCTATAGCAGTTATGTTAGGGAAATCTAAATCAAGGAATGTAAATACCACATTTAGATTAAACACAATTTAGAAATATTAATTTTCTATATTGACCTTAACCATCCATAAGGAAGGCCTGAGCCCCTGCAGTGGGGACGTAAAAGGGCATATGATGATGATGATGATATTGACCCAATCGGGGATCGAACCGGGGAGCTCAGAGACGGTGACACCCAGTGGCGTATCTACACGGTGGCAAGTCGACAAAATGCCACGGGGCCCCCAGCTGGAAGGGGCTCCTGGTCAAAGGAGACACCTTACTCCTGACATTTATTATGCAATTAGTAAAAAAATTGAATATCTGATGAATTTGCCACGGGCCTCAAACGGTATAGTTACGCCACTGGTGACACCTTGAAATTGACGTACAAAGCCACTTGGCAAAGGCCGTCGTCACATATATCGACGCTGGAAATCAAACACGTAGTAACCTGCAAAACCAAAATGGATAATTAGAGTGGAAAGTTTTTATATTAAAAAAAAAACTTATTTCTGTATAAATTGATAAAGGAACACCTTATTTGTTACCTTGAAATTTTGAGGATACATGCGTATTATGTAGAGGTGTACTTCTGGAACTTTCTCTCCGAAGGGGTTAAAAATTGAATATGCAACTTCATTGTTTTTAAGTTTTTTTTATATTTTATCCAGAAAACCAGCACTCCGATACGTAAGCTAAGCGTTATCCATCTATCTATCCAAAAAATAGTGGTAAACATTTTTTTCATTTAAGCTAAAAACATATATATCTATTAATTTTTTATTATAAAAATATAACTTAAAAAAGCCATTCTTCTTCTGGAACGGTATTTTTATGAAGCATCGTGCATGGGACAATGAAAGATTGAAATATTCAATTTCTAATTTATTTTTTAACGTAAAGACGTCGTTTGGTCTTTCGAATAATCTTTATGTCTCTCCGCATTGCATTGTCTTTTGTTCTTACCTATAAAATATAATTGTGAGCAGAATTTAAATCAAAATTAATAAATAGTGTTAGATTCGGTAAATGAAACCCTAAAATCAAACTCAAATAATGAATGGCGTAATCAAAAGCCCCAAAAAGGCCCTATCCTGCTTGTATTGCCCACAGATTTAATGGCATTGTTTAAAAAAGTTTTCTGTTTTATTAAGGTGAATAAAAAAGACCTCAGTTTTAATTTAATTAACTTTATCAGCTCAGAACTTTATTTTGATTACTTTTTAGCGACAATGTAGATCTTTCATGTAAATAATTAAAAATCTAAATGATCAATAATTGTTAATAAGTCATGTAAATCCCGACTAGGCATTTGATTAAATCTTTCGCAACTTTTTAAATCATACATGTTTACATAGTACTATCAAACCAGTGACAAGTACATTAGAAGCATTATATTTCGGTTTGGCTCTACCTTAACCTCAAAAAAACGGTTTTCTTAAAAAGCGAAATGAAATAGGTTTTGATTCAATATACGGGTTTTTCGAGATACTGTTTCCGACACATCGTTCATCGCAGATTCAATTCATAATAATTTTATGTCAGTTTCATTTCTATTACCAAGCGAATGAAGTAGTGCGTAGCAGACGGGTAGTTCGAAACAGAATAAGAATTTTATGCTTTTCATCAGAGGTTCTGATCATTGAATAATAAGGAAATGAAAATATTAATATATTTAAAAATAAAAAATCATAAAAATTAACTTAAACGTTTAGTTATTATGATATAAAAGTTATTTTTATATCTGAAAAAAAATCTAGTACCTATAGGAGACGTTACAATTCCCTTAAAATTTTATATAAAAAATGTAGTACAAAATTATTTTACTGTTAAAATATTGTACTCATATTTAACGTGTCTTTGCAAACTGCGTTTTCGGTTTTAGATATGCCACTTTTAGCAAAAATGCAATTTAAAACAATGAAAATTTGTGGATAGACATTTGAAATATTTAATAAGTATTTTATTTGACGTTTTTAGGAATTGATCTAATTGCCAAGTTGTAAAAATAAATCTATGCTATAACCATCTTAGGTAATAAATACAGTTATTGAAATAAAATCATACACAATTTTTTTACAACCAAATTTATCTTCAAAAAAGAATCTTCGTTCTCAGCTGTTTCTTCCAGTACAGCCTGAAGATCACCAATTTGACGTGACATTGCTATCATATTGGCTCCATTATATGAAGTCAATGAATATAGTTAGTCAATTGTAAATATACCGTGTCGGCTTAATATCATTAGAACAGTATCTTTAAGGAAAGTTGCAGTAGTTCTCTCATGCAACTGTTTGTTGTTTCTGTTTTTGTAATTAGGTCATTTTGATTTTCCAGGTCCAACTTTTTTTTTATTTCGTCATATTTAATTGGATGCTGAGTATAAAATAAATTACCCTCATTGTTGTTCCTCATTCTTCAATTAGATGTAATTTCTTTCATTCTCGTTATCAAAACAACTATAAATTTTATTATTCCTCTTAAGATCCATACTTTATTTCATAAATGTAAAATAAGTAAGATACAAAATTCCAAACTTAATTACAATATCTAACTTTACTCACTCGCCTCTTGCAAACATATCAATAAACGCATCAATCTCTGAGAGATTATAAGTTGCGACTTGTTAGTTCAAACAAACGTCAAGAAATGCCGACGCGTGCATGCATGTCTCGCTCTGGATTAAACCGGTTTATTGAGGTTTATATACAGCTCTCATTTCGGATGCACTCCGAACTAAACCTTTACTAAAAACCTATATAAACCTTTATTTACCGGTATTTTTTAAACCGGTTTGAAAGTCTGAAGTACTATCGTAACATTTTTGGAGATGGGGTTCTTTCGGTAATTTGAGCGAGTAATTTTCTTCCCTCTGATTATCTCTCTCTCTATTCAAAGACCTAATCTCTTCCCTCAACCTATTGACTAGAATTCCTAAAGAATTCGCACTACTTATTCTTCAACCATAATCCACAAGTCGAGCGTTGTATCAGACAGCTTGCGAAATTCTTGCCGAACACACCCATAAGTCCCTACCAGGAATTTGTCCGCCCGAGCAAAGGCTCCATGCCCTACGAAGCCTAGGGTTGTGAAGGCGGGGAGGGGCGGGGCTCCAGAGGCCGTATATCAACAGCACCACCAGCTGTCGCCCATTCCCTCGCCCACGGCAAACTTGGGCTGACGATTTACTATCGTGGTTGTTGCCACGTTCGGCGAAGAACCCTCGCCAGCCTCGTCTCCACTCAACGTGGAGGAACGGATTGGCCAGTGCCTTGAAAAAGGCACCCAAATAAAAACAAAATTTTAAATTTTAAATCGACCGATTTTGGTTCTCCTCTAAAAGCCTGAGAAATTGATGTGGAATAAGGAAGTATTTAAAAAAATAATAAAATACTAAAAAAGCACCTCTACTAGATGGCGACTCTAGCAAAAGTTTTTTTTTTTTGCAGGAAATGCATGAAGCATAAATATTCATTTCCGTTCCTTTTAACTATCACATTAAAAAACTAAAATTTGCAAAGTTCGAAACTTATAGATAGCAATACAAATACGAAACATTTATACATAAATATAAAATTGTTAAAATCTCACATATACAAACACAGTGCTATGTTAATGGAAGAGCGGGATCTCCCAATACAAGCAAAGATTAAAAGGAGTCTCCAAAACCTATATGTATATGATATTGTCTAGATGATGAAATAAACATTTTTCATTTTCATTTATACAGGTTTTACATGATAGCCAAGAATTGGTAAAGATTATAGTTTTTAATTCTTTGAACCAAACGATGACAGTTTAGGTTAGAATAAGTGCCATCTACCAAAACAGTGCGATGTAGAACCAGTGTTGCCAAATTAGCTCTTTCGGTGCTAGAACTGGCACTATTTTCATAAAGTTAGCACCAGGCTTAACAACTTAGGGCTTTTAGCCCCAAATTTAGGGCGGAAATAAACTCTTGGGGCTCAAGAAAATTTAGAGCTAATTTTAGTGCCAAAAAAAAAGTTTCAAATTTGATTTATTTCGTGAGAGATTGCCACCATCTAGTGACATTTATTTTGATAGTTGTCCTTCTTCATTGTTGTAGAGCAAGTAATCTGTGGCACAGAGATTCACGTTCACGCATGCCATCTTACGGCGGTATGAGAAAGTATTAAAAAAAACATTAGTCCTCGAAATCAAATTAGATGTCGTTACGGTACTTTCTTGATTTCTCCATGACATCCCTTCCGTTTTTCTTTCATGTATAAAACTAGTTCGTAATAAAATAATATCATATTGTTTTACATTATTTTATTACGAAATAATATATTTTGTTGGAGTTACTAAGAGGTGTTTGATTTCAACATCCAAATCATCCAAGTTGACGATGTCATCCAATATTCCGGTGAAGATAACAATCTACGCAACCCTCTACATAGGCAGTTATTTTATTTATAATGCTGTTATTTTTATCTTAATCGTATTGCAACTACTACAAGATTTACTTGGACAAACAAAAACGCAGCAATTTTCACAATTGAAGTAAAAATGCTAAATAATATGCAAAAATTGTCTAATATGTCACCGCCTTGACACTTCAAAGGGATACCAGTAGAAAATACATAAACAAATAGCCTTGACTTGATTATATAATGACTAATTATGTTATTTTAGTTTAGATTTCTAATCATTTCATCTTAATGACAATATGAAAGAACAAGACATACGGCCTCCGTGGCGACTATCTCTGTCGGCTCTATTTAGCTTTTGTATAAAAAACAATGAAAAGTATGCTTTTATTGATAACGTTAAAGTTCTTTTTCGTAATGACAATTTTTCTGTGTTTATAAGTCCTGCTATATTAGTACTACGTCCACGTTTTTCTCGCACCATCATTCCCTTAGTCATTCCATCGTGATACCTACTTAGTCTGTGGTGATTACATTTAATAACTCTTTGGTTAGGTCATGTCATTCATGTCATCTATTCAAGAGTAGTAGGTAATAATACATAGTGAAATCGTTCACATTTTTTGTGATTTTATCTTTAAATGATAATAACTATTTTACATGTCATTTTGTTTGTTTGGATTTTAAATGTTAGTGTTTTAAAAACCTAATGTCTTTATAATAACGAATTACATTAATAAAAATGGGTGCTTTATTTGGTAAAAATAAGAAACAAGTAAGCAGAATCACTGAACAAGATAAAGCAGTTCTACAGCTTAAACAACAGAGAGATAAGTTGAAACAATATCAGAAAAGAATAGAATTGAATCTTGAAAGAGATCGTCAATTGGCTAAGAAACTCTTAGCTCAAGATAAACGGGACAAAGCGAAACTTCTGCTAAAGAAAAAACGTTACCAAGAACAACTACTTCAAAACACAGAATCGCAATTAGAAAAATTAGAGCAATTGACTCATGATATCGAATTCGCCCAAATCGAAGTACAGGTAAGAATTCATATTTCATATTCAAAATATCATTTGGACTATTATATTTGATGAGTAAGCTTTCTCATTACATTTTCTTGATCAAGTTCACATGTAGCTTACACGTACTCATAACTCATACCAATAGGAATTTTCATTGTTAGAAACCACTTTGAACACAATAATTTCGAACTTCATAAAGTTTCCAAAGACAGTTTATTTTTTAATAAATATAAAAATAACTGATCTGTAAATGTTATCACAAGCTTTTTTAATATTTTATTTTTTAATTCTTAATTCAGGTGCTGGATGGGTTGAAAACTGGTAATATTGCACTGAAAAAGGTGCATGATATTTTGAGTATTGATGAAATTGAAAAGATTATGGATGAAACTAAAGAGGGAATAGAAAAGCAAAGAGAGATAGATGAACTTATTTCTGGTCAGTTGACCAAGGAAGATGAAGAGGAAATTGAAGCTGAACTTGAATCAATATTAGATGTAAAAGACCAACTACCAGATGTGCCTGCAGATAAACTGCCAGAAGTTATTGAAGATAGTGTTATAGACAAACCTCGTAAAGCCAAAGAGGCCCCTTCAAAAGTTGCCATGGAAGCCTAAATGTATATTATTTTACTGCAATTAAGAGTGTATATAGTTTGTCTTAAGTATATTATATTTTTTAATCTCACCGTTTGAAATCCTTTTTTTTTACATTTAATATGAAACCTGAAGACACTGTTAATTTCACATATCCCAATTTCTTGTATACTATACCCCAATATCATGAAATGAAAATTTGAAATATATCTATGAACCCCGACAGGCAACACAATTATAAAGCTAAATAAGTTTTTTGGTAAAAAATTATTGATAACACATTGGTAACCAAGGTTAAAAAGAAGACTAGCGAGTCCTTGTTGAATGAAATTTTCAAATTGTCAGTCTGGCATCGCCACCTTGGATTTTAAAATGATTTCTTGCATATCAGTACAAATATAACTTTCTGAAATTTTTTAAATTCTTTTCTCATCAAATGCCTAAAGGTGCAGTTAAGACTGGAACGCAAGCATGTGTGTATATAATTAAACACAAAATAATGTTTCCCTTTTTAATCTCATTCATATCAAATAACATAAATTATTTTTAGTACATACATACTATTGTGTCTATGTATTAGATTTTCTATAAAATATAAATTAGTGTGGTACCATTGAGTTGCTGTTTAGTTAGCATTAACTATCTCAATGTTTCATCACCTTAGAAAGTTCTAATTACAATCAGACATACGATTCTGAATCGTACCATATCCATTTTTTTCACATTCATGCATAGTTAACGTTAGACATATGATATTTTATTACTCTTTTAAGTTTGCTACATGATACTAATAGGTAATTGCTAGTTATGTACAAGTAAATACAAGCTATTATATAATTTTTATAACAAGCTGTGTCATATAAACCACAAAGTGATTACAACACCACTTCGCATACTGGCGATATTGCTAAGCTAAGCAAATACAATCTGCCAAACTTTCTTCTGTACATTAGTATTTTCTTAAAATAATGATTTATCACACTTGTACTGTAAATACATGGCAAAGAATATTTATTAAACCTCTAGACGCATCCTTATATATGTAATCCTGTGATAATCATCATAGGGTTTTAGAAAATTGCTGACAATGGGAAGAAGCAAGTAATTAATATTGCTAGAAGTGGTCCCTGACATATTTAATTTTAAAAATAAAGTTGCAAGGAATTTTGTGGAAAAACCATTTTTCTGAAAATAATCAGAATCATCAGCTTTCTTTTTGATAACAAAAACATGTGATAGGAATGTAGATTTATTTTATTTTATTACGACATTGAAGAATCCATTGTCAAATGCTTCGTTTGAATCAATTTGGATTTAATTCACAAACCCAATTTTTATTTGCTATAAATTTCCAGATTTTGTTGTAGAAAATTTATATGTCAGCTATGTTTCCAGTAAAAAGTTTTGAGTTAGAAACGATATTTATTTATGCTCACACATCTATCAACATAAATATTATGCAGCCTATTAAAACGCATGGTAGAATTCAAGAAAATATGAAAAAAGAAGAAATTTGTAAAATAGAATCATGATTTAAAGTATCTATATACAAGTAATGTTCATTATTATCAAAAACAGAAAATGTAGCTTGATTCTGTACAAACCAGATTAGATTAAAATAAAATATATCAGAATCAATCCAGTTAACTAGCATTAACTATTTGTTTCCATGCCCTCTTATAATAAATGGAAACTTAGATACAAAAATTTTGGAGTGTTATTGTAACTATCTCCAATCCACATATTGTAAATATGACTAATATTAAAGTACCTAATAAACAAAAACTGTTAAATATTATTAGTAATTCCCAATGTTTCTATAGCAACTTTATTGTAATATTGAAATCATATAAAACTCTTATCACCAAGAGTGTGGTGCTGTTATATTAGCCCACATAAAATGTCATTCCTTATGTATTATCCCATAGCCGGTTTAAGAAAAATGTATTGACCATTAAATATATACAAGACAGTGTTAAAAATAGTTAAAATTATCACAGTTTTGAAACTAAATGTTGGCTTTTACAAAATGGCTGTAATGGCTTAATGGTATAAGAAAATAATTTACACATAAACAACAAACTATAATTTCAGTTTCCGTTATTTACGGGACAAGACTTAAAAGTTTTGTTTTGGATTAATTGGTCATTGACAGCTCTCTTTAGTTTCTTCGAATTGGTGAGCATTTCACTGTTGGTAAGTCAGTTTGTAATAGTCAGAAACTTTACACAAGTCACATTCACCAGTTTTTCACAACACTATCTTGGTAGGCAGAAATCTAAATGGTTTTATTACCAAAACCATTTTTACATTGCTTCATCTCTATTGTAGGCATTTCATGGATGAATATCACTGGAGGAGGAAGAATCTTCTTCCTAGAGGCTGGAAAATTGAAGCATTGGTCGTGCGTGTGTAATAATTATTTGTTTTTAAGGGAGATCTTAAGCCCCTTAAAATCCGCGTGTCAAATTACATTTGCAGTCAACTGCTTTTAGAAGTACATATCTCTGTGGAAACATACTTATATGTTTATTAGTATTGCTTCATATGTGATCTCTTTTGTTCTTCGGTTTTTGAAGTTAAGTCTTCGTAACTCCAACCAATTGAAGAACTATATTGGCTGTCGATTTTGGTCATTTAACTTCAGCTCCGCGACGATTCTGTGTCATGTCAGCTTTCACCTGATGTAAATAAAAAAATAATTTAAAAAGTTCCAAATCTATATAAAGTTGATGTGAATTTTGTCTAATGCACCAATCAAGCTGCCGGAGGAAATTGTGGTTATAGTTAGTTATAGTGGCCATATAATTTATTATTGATAGAACTATATGTGTACAGATAATACATATCAATTGATATTTACAATATTGATACTGGTAACATTGGCTCGAAGTAGCAGAAAGAAGTACCTTACTCACTTGACATTTTAAAACATCATATATTAAATAATGCTACTATCAAATTAAAAATCGCAATTTTTCGTATTCATGATATATATCCGATGTATTTCGGATAAATATCAAATATCGGATATTTATTATAAATATCGAATTATTGCGAAACCTGGTATAGAGTGAGTGTATACCTGATGGTGGTAGACTAGTACTGGTCGTAGCGGAGTGTGGCGGGGTGCTAGTAGTTGACTGTGACAGGATGGTGTGAGAGCGTGGCGCCGGCGTGGTGTTGAGCGCTCACAGTGAACGTAGTAGGTACACTCGCCGCACTAGTCGCCGCCGCCGCCGCGCGGACCTCCTAATATACATTAAATTGCTATAATGTATGCCCAGCTAATTGCTAATGCGCCGGGCCGCCATTTTGATCACGTAATTGCGTTCAAAAATCAGTACCGTAATTTTGTTTGGTTTAGATTGTTATCGTTAAGTTTTGCTGTTACTTGTTATGGTTGACTAAAATAGGAATTGCTATTATTATTTTCACAATAAGTAAACATAAGTTCACTTATAATAAATATATCTAATGGGCGAATTTAACTAATAAACAGCCTGTTGCACAAACGTCCATTAAAATTATCATTAGTTTCAAGCAACATTCCCATACGATTTTGATATCCATAATAGCTTATTCATAATAGTTGGATGTGGGAGGCGCAGGACCGATCACGTTTGAGATCTTTGGGGGAGGCCTATGCCCAAAGGGCGTCTCTCGGCTGATATGATGATGATGAATAGCTTAAAGGCGTCATTAAATCTTAAAGGACTTTACTGCAACTGACAGTAAGAAAAATATGTATAATATGTTAATAACAATTTAACTATAGTACATCGCTTGTAACATATCATACTGAACTTCTATGGTGACTAATATTACAAGTGCCACTATCACGAAGTAACTCCGTGATATTGCCTGTAGTAATATCAAAGTAAATAATTCAATAAACACTTCTCGTCTCATTTTGATCTCTTATCTAATAATAGCTTATCTGAAGGTCGTTACTAGAATTTTCAATTTAACCTTTCTTGCAAATGTTTTGTACTTTTAATTTAGCAGATTTTAGAAAAATATGATTCTGATTCTGCTCAAATTCGTCAAATTAATCATTAATTACTCACCTGACTCGTTATTTGCATCACAGCTGGGTTGCTTTGTTGGGTTTGAGTGACATTATTTTCTGCCGGTCTATTTTCTGTCGTCGGCCTATAAAAAATATTTACATTTGCATTATTCTATTGATCATTCCAATCCTCCAATTTTATACGCAAAGCTTTGAAAGAGTGAAAACTTCTCAAATGAGAGAAATAAAAATCTTGTGTACCTGATTTCATGTTTTCTTTCAGGCCTCTCTGGGTCGATCTTATCACACTTATTGCAATCACCACAGTCTTCACTTTCCGCTGGAGCATCTCCTGTAGCGGTAGGCTCACCAGATTCCGTGTGCGTTCGCCGATGAGCCACTAGATGAGCTGAGTTTCATATAGAACAAAAACATTATTAACGACATTATAAGAAATAAATACCATAAAAACATTTCTTGCCGTAATGTGCAGCAGACTGCTTCAAAGGGCAAAATCCGATTGATCAGAAATCTTCAATGAAAGAAAGAATTTGTTTTATACTGAGTACAAATAGATTTTAATTTGAGACATTAATATAATGTTTCTTTTAAGATGGAATTATAAGCATAATTTTATTTAAGTTTATTATATATGTAAATTAAAATTACTAAAATAAAACTAAATTTTGAATTTAATATAACTAAGTGTATCATACCTTTACATAGGAAGTCTTTGGAGCATATGTCACACCGGTAAGGCCGATGGCCACTGGCAGCTCTGGCCTTATTGTGTGACCTCTCGTGGAACAGAAGATTGCCTTTCAAAGGGAAAGACTTACCGCACTCGACACAACTGAACGGTCTCTGGCCGCAACTATGCGATCTGTTAATTTCATTAGGACATAAATAGGTTAATGATGATTATATTGTAAATTAATTATCAAGAAATTAAATTTCTTTATTTACTAGAGTAAATACGACCTATCATAAATACAAACTCGAACAAAATCTCTCTTTATAATTTTTATTGACATATAAGCTTAAGTAGGATATGTTTAAAAAAGAAGATGTAAAAATGTGTCGATTTCAATCCGGAGCATAAAATGGGATCCATTATATAACAGTATATTACATAAATTTAAATAATTTAGTTACCTTGCTTTAAATTTTGAATTGAGTACTAGTAATATTATCACAGCAAACGCATACGGATGAATCAGAAAATAATTTCAGGCTAAATGTCATATCTATGTTATTCTTTTTATACGTATTTATACAACAACTCCGATTATTGGCCATAACCAAGCATTGAGAGATACCAAATAAACATGTTAATTTTTTAAATACTGACCTCATATGCGTGACTAAATGCTCTTTTCTGGTGAATGGTTTCGAGCATACTTTACAAGCATGCGGCGTGTCCCCCGTGTGCTGCTTGAAGTGGTTGGTCAAGTGTTCCTTACGAGTGAACGTCTTTTGACAGAACTCGCAGCGGTGAGGAGATTCGCCCGTGTGTATTCTGTACAAATCACTCATTTAATGTGTATAAAATTAATATACAGGGGTAATAAATTTGTTTTATATGTCAGTTTGAAATTATGTTCCTAGGCCAGTATAAAACTGTTTCAAAGTTCTCTCAAATGATTTCGTCCCTAGTTATAAAGGAAGCAAGCAGTCTAGACTGTGTGTGACACATAAGAAACCTTTCCAATTCTCAAAATGTTTGATGGCAACAAAATGTCCAATTCCTTTTATTTGTGTGTAGACAACAACAATAAATCCATCATGATTCATACTAGCTTGGACATTTCGGGATTTGGAAATTATTAGAATTGGACGTTCTAAACTAAAAGGACGAGAAATTCGATTGGTTTCTATTATTGTTTATTGATTGGATAAATGAGTCAATGGCATTTTAGTTAAACCCAAAGTATTATGTTAGCGTTAAAAGTATGAGTAGCGATACATATCGCTATTCATAGACCTCTTCCATCGTTTCCGGAGCGTACAGCCTATTGTTATTTATATTGGGTTGGGGCAGCAACCTTAGCATTCCGTTCAATACAACACAGTATTTTGTCACATACTATATCATTGTCCTTACCTTATTAACAGGCTATAGGAAAAAGTTATGTCTAAAAAAATAGTTAACTCAAAAGAAATACATTCAGCACATTGAGATTGACACCTAAGGTGACCAAAAGCATGTGCTAGTTGAATTTAAATGATGTGTCCATGCAACCAAACAAGGGGGAAAAAATATCAAATTTCAATACCATACTTGCTAAAATACTAATATTGTCTTAAAACAGTTATTAATTTTGTTTAACCATAATAAAATCTGATATAGCACTACATAAAAAATCTTACGGCATGCAATAAACGATTGAAATATTATAGAACTGTATTATTATATCTTGTATATTAAAGAGTTTGAACCTAACGAACCACATGAATAGGGTATTTGACAACATTAAAATATATCAAAGTTGTAGTCATCCTATAAGATAATAGCGTAATAACATATTCACTTTATTCTAAACGAAATAATGTATCATTTTTGCAGATTTTTTTTTTTTTTATCAGACACGAAAACGCTTTGTAAATACACACGCTAGTAAATATACTTCCTTTTGACGATTTTAGTATGATGAGAATTGTTTATTTACTAGTGTGTGACGTCATACGCGGTGTAATGGCGGCGTATGACAGACACAGCGTTTTTCACGCGGTTACGGAAATTAAAACTTTAACTTTGATTTTAATTGATAAATACAGTAACATTCTCCGAAATATTAATGTAATGAGCTTATGTAAGGGGTCAGCCATAAATTACGTTACACGAATTTCACGATTTTTTGCTCCTCCCCCGACCTTGTCGATTCGCACCCTCCCTCTTAACGTGTGACGTATTTATGGATGAATCCTAATAAAGAATAATTTTAAACAATTTTTCATAATTAGTCAAATACCCCATTGTAACGGATGTTAAATTTTGATTATCGTTCATTATACTAACCTGACATGGTTGGTCAAATGCTCCTTCCTCGAGAAGGTCTTAGTGCAGAATGCGCACTTGTGCGGAGTCTCGCCGGTGTGAAGGTGCACGTGGTTCGTGAGGTGCTCCTTGCGTGAGAAAGACTTCGAGCAGTACGTGCACTTGAACGGGGTCTCGCCTGTATGTTGCCTGTTACAATACATTCCGATTAAACCATGAACCAATTTCAGTCTCCTTTTACAGTATAGCTGGTTTGCGGGAAAATTTTATGTGCATACCTAGACTATATGTCTGTCTAATGTTTTTTCGAAATTAATGTTATATTTATTTCACGATGAAATAAGATATTTAGAAATTTTCAATTATGTCAGTATTTTTGCAAACAAGCAATTCTAATTGTTATGCCATAAAAACGAAATGTCAGTTAGTGACAGGCAATACGTACCAATATTGTGTAAACTAATACTAATAAACTAAAACATCATTGAAAATTTATTTGGAGCTGGTGAAATTGGTTTATACAAAACTGTAATTAGTTCCAATCGGAATGTAGTGTACTGCGCAAATCTTATTCCAGATTGAAACTAAATAAAGGCAAGTCATTGATCAATTGCATCATTGCATTTATTTAAGTTTTGATGTGTGAATTAGTTAACATAGTAACACAGATATTACATATCGTGGTTAATTTTAACCGTCCAACTTTACTTTTGCGTGAAGAGTTTCCCGTTATGTTTACCTGATATGGTTTACAAGATGCTCTTTCCTGTTGAAGGTCTTGCTGCAGAAAGTGCAGGAGAAGGGCATGTCGCCGGTGTGTTGGCGCACGTGATTCGTGAGGTGTTCCTTCCGCGAAAACGCGCGCGGACAGTACGTGCATTTGTGCGGCGTTTCTCCCGTATGCTGTCTGCACAGAGTACATTCCGATTTTATCGATTAGCAAAATAATCGATTACACAACAAAACGCAACACTTTACAATTATTTCGCCCTAAATTTACGGGAAGCGGGAAGGATTGGTGCGCGGCAATGGAAAGCTCAAATCGGAATGCACAATGCTGTGCTACTACTGTAATATTGCAAGGGAAACGTCACACAAATGCCGTCTGAGATTTGAATAATAACTTGACCCCTTACTATCATCTACAGACAATTTTGTTCTAATATCTTACCTTGGTTATATTTTCGTTTATGCTACCATGCTAAAACATGCAGGATTATTCTGGGATACGTGCTTATGAGGTTCTAATATAAACTACAATAGACAATCTGTAGATAGCACAGCATTGTATATGTATTACTTATACTTAATATATGATATTGTTAATAATTTTGTAGTTATTAACATTATATTGATAATATCATAATATGGACTACTTTTTGGTGTCATTATAAATTAATATTCGAATTAATTGATCAATATTACCATCTATGATCTTTATATAATACAAAATACATTATATTGGTGTAAAGATCATGGAACCTGCTTTCACATCCCAAATATATTTTTTTTACAGAAGGAAACAAACACACTTTATTTATTGGTAATATTATTTCACAGCTAATAGAGAATATTCTTAATCATACAAACAAAAAATTTCAATGCAAATGTCAAGAAATTATAACTAACAATCAAAACTAGAAAGGAAATCCTAGACAATTAAGTCAAAAAGAAATAGTAATACTACATACAGTTAATGTCAATGACACCAAAAAGTATTCCATAATTTCAGAATAAGAATTACCTGATATGGTTGGTCAGATGTTCTTTTCTGGTGAATGATTTGGCGCAGTAGCTGCATCTATGAGGTGATTCGCCAGTGTGTTGTCTCACGTGATTCGTGAGATGTTCCTTCCGAGTGAAGGACTTCGTGCAGAAGGAACACTTGTGAGGCGACTCGCCGGTGTGTTGCCTCACGTGGTTCACTGCGTGAAGTGTTTACGTTATTGACATTTTTTTTATACTCCTCATAATCCAATATAATTATATAAAGTGATCTGAGATATTTTTAAGTGCTATTTATTGAATCATTATTTTTTTGATTGTTATTTTAACATTTATATATTCATTGCATTACATGTGGTTTACAAAAACCAACAATTGGTGAGAAATTATTGAGCCCACAACGCCATCTGTTTGTGATCATCGGGGACTGTCGTTGTTATCGAATTTCAATTTTCTTTATATTTATATAAATTAATGATATTCTGATGATTACACTAGTACTTTCTTTTAGAGTTACCTATCGCTAAACTATCGATAGTGACGTTATATCAAAGCATCGATACAGTCTCTAAGGCAAAACTATTGCTTCCAATAAATTACCTAATTCGTTATATCAATATTTAGTGTGAATTCGATTGTGAGGAATTCTAGTCTCCATCGGCGCGTTTCATTCATTATCTTTCAGACGAAGAAAAGACAATATTTCCTAAATACAATAACTTTAAGACACTTCTTACAAGCGACTACCATATATCTATTGCTGCTGATTTAAATATATTTAAACCATAAGTAGAGCAACTAAAACGTTATCATTAGTAAAATTTTATTAGGTGACTAAAAGCCAATTCTTTTACCAAGATGGTCTTTTCTTGTAAACGCCTTAGGACAATATCCGCATTGGAACGGCGTCTCGCCGGTGTGCTGGCGTACATGATTGACGAGATGTTCCCGTCTCGTGAATGACTTCGAGCAGAAGTTGCAGCGATGCGGCGACTCGCCTGTGTGTTGGCGTACGTGATTCAGCAAATGCTCTTTCCTAGTGAATGTCTTTGAACAGAAGTCGCAACGGTGCGGTGTTTCGCCTGTAAGAAGCATTTTTAAATTAGAATAGGCAGCCAGCATGCCTTCTTTTTGTATGTACAGTCCCATTTACCAATAAAGAAATATTTAAATTTAGCAACCTTTAAATCATGTGATTGATTTATAGTTGAGTAACTATAATTTGTGTTCATCCATAAATTACGTCACACGTTAAGAGGGAGGGAGGGAATTGACGAAGAGTGACATTGTGTAACAAGAGAATGGGAGGGGTCCTAAATTTCGTCAATCTTGTTAGGTCCTTTTTTTTTTGACGCTGAGATATAACGCATTTCTGCATACCCGCTTCACCTAGCGCGGGCTCCACGGGTTATGTGGGACTCCCCCCTGTGGACCCGCCCCAGAGTGGGGCTAGTCAAAGAGCAGGGGTATACCTACTAAAACTCAGCGATGTCCCTAGCATGGAAGGCGATGCACGGGATCGGCCCGGAGGCCATACACCGCGCGGTTCGCCCCCATTTCGGCCTTCCCTGAAAAGGGCAGGTCCCGCTGCGGGTTGAGGGTAAACCCTGTTAGGTCCTGGATAGGTCAGCAGTTGCCCGGATTGCGAAAGGTCATAGGTTCGAATCCCATCTCAGGGTGCCAGGGACCAAGTGGATTTTTAAGCATTTTGTATTAAGAATGTCATTTAAACAGGTTTTCGTTTCTGATTTTCAATTTTTTTAATGATTAGTTGATAGCAGTTTGATAAAACTAGGACTTTTTGCAACTTGAAATGTAAGAAACTTCAGTTATTGAGAATAATCAGTTGAGATTTTGTACTTTCCTCAATTCAGAAACTTTTCTTGGCCGTTAGACAAAAGTACTTTGTTTTGTCAATTGTTTGATTTGATATTTATAAATAATATAAATGATAATAAAAGTGATTTCGGAGCCGCTGCTTTCATTCAATAATTTCTATATGTAAATTAGCAAAATATGTGACGTCACACTAGGGAGTGGCGGGACTCTCACAGTGTGACAAGGACGAGGGGAGGGGCAAAAAAATCATGAAATTCATATGACGTAATGTATGGATGATCTTTTTAATACGATTGAGATAAAATATCAATTAGATATTCAGTCGTTAATTTAAAATAAAAACTCAAATATAGAAAGGAAATTTTCCAGTGGTTCTTTAAAAATGTGAAGTTAAGTAAATTTTAGATTTCGGCTCTCGTCTCATAATGATGCCGACCCCTAAGTTTGGAATATTTCATAGAAGTTTTACAATTCAGAGTGTTGGGGTAGGGGTTCGGTGCTATCTGAGATAAGATGCGTCGCGTATCGTCGGTTACGAAACATCATAACTGACGGTAGCTATTATATGATATTGCACCTTATACACTTGACGGATGGTTCATGGCGTACTTCCGCTAGAGACGCTTGACGAATCTTCCATAAGATTTACACGGATGATATAGTTGTTTGCATGAGATATAATTTAATTTACGTTCATTTTTTTAATATTCCATAGAAAAATTGCCCTGAATCTTTTCATATAAAATTTTAATCAAACTGATGTTTTTAAGCATAGAAAAGAGAAAAAAAACAACAAAAATAATTTACACATTCGTTAATTTATACTCCAAGCCTTTACCAAGAGCATAACGATGGGTTATCATATCCAAATTTTCGTTTGTCAAATGAAATCTATACTAACCCGTATGCCACATAATGTGATTGGTGAAGTGTTCCTTTCTGGTGAAGGACTTGCCGCACAGTTCGCATCTGAACGGGGTATCATTAGTATGCGATCTCATATGGTTGGTTAAATGCTCCTTCCTAGTATACTTCTTGCCGCATATTTGGCAATGGTGCGGTGTTTCACCTAATGGAGTGGGCAGAAAATAAAATGTTAATATTCAATGATGCAACTATATTTACTGATAATTATATATCGTCAACGAATAACGTCATCTCCCAGATATTAAAGTTACCAGAAAAAAATACTGTGTTAGTGATTTAGTACACAATTTGGGAGGCCAGAATTCATGACCGATTGTATTACTGTTAAATCTAGTTTATCGTAAATAGTTGAATCATTCAATATTTCTACTTTCTGCACCACTGGTAATAAACCCATGTGACTTGGTGCAGGCTTGGGTATTCCGTTTAAAATAAATATAACAGAAATACAAAAGTAGTGAGTAGAAGTACAATTTGTGGCATACATGCAAATTATAAATAAAGTGGAGAAAGCAAGTGAAAATTCACTGAACTTCTTCATGCTCTTGTATTTGGGAGTATGAATACTTCTCATAATTAACTAAAACCGGACATTTATGCTTTATAATAATTTCAATAGGTGGTTTTAATTTAGAAACCAAAAATCAAACTTAAAGGCGAATGGGAAAGCAATAAAATAACGCAATTTTATTTCTATCAATTTCAATAAAAATGGTGTCAATTTTAATTAATTAAAATTATCATAAAAAATATTTCTATAGAAATGTACCTTTGAAATTTCAATTTGTTAAGATTAAAAAATTAAAAAAAAAATTAAAAGAAAAGGATTGGGTCACTTTTTTAATTATAGTAACGGAATTTTATAATAACACTGCAGATTCTAATAATGAACTTAAAATACATACAGCAATTTTTGGTCAAACACGTTTAACTGTATTTAACTATTTATTTTATGAAGTAAGCTGTCAAATATATTGTCAATTTTAAGAATTTTTATACAAAAAAGAAAAACCAAAAGTTTGTGAAGTCTACACACCAGTATGCCACATGACATGGTTCATGAAGTGCTCCTTCCTGGTGAAGCTCTTCTTGCATATCTCGCAGCGGTGCGGAGTCTCGCCGGTATGTTTACGTACATGATTCACCATGTGTTCTTTACGAGTGAATGTCTTAGCGCAGAACTCACACCTGATTTAAAAATTAAAAAAAAATAAACAAAAAATACAAATGAAATTTAAGTTTCTGTTGAACCATTTTAAGTTTTAAATATTCAACAAAATAAATTTTATGCCACTAATTTTCAAAATATTACGATTCGAAGACTTGAAAAAAAGTAGGAACAATATATTAAAATACATATGCATTAAATTAATGACATAAATCATTACAACTTTCATTATAACAGCTATAAACATAAACGATAACAAAATTGTTACAAAGATTGCCCAAACACCCATATATTTTTCGCTACCATAGCACCGTATGACGTCACTTAATTCCTTGAATGTGTATGGAGCGTTTTCGGCCGACTTGTAGCATTTCCACAAACACACCACCATATCACCAAAACTATTAATCGTAGACATGCTGTTACTTCTACATTTTTTATCAGATATTAATGGACTATTTATTTATAAAATAAAAAAAAAATCAACTAGCCTATTGCGATTGGGGTTGATTTTGAAAACTGTTGGAAACTATATCTGTAAAGATTAAATCAAACAAGTAACTTTTGTCATTTTTAAACGGATATGCAATGTTTATAAAAAATCTGCATAATGATATCTATTTCATTTAATATCAATATACCGGCTTCACAAAGCAGATATATCAATATTTTTAGTTCTTAAATAAATCCAACAGATCTAATTCCTGACCTGGAAAAAAATCTATCATACATTATATTACAACAACATATTTTTTTTAAGTATAGATAATGCCCAGCCGTGTTACCAGAGCTTAATTTTTTTTATATCTTTTTACCCCCAATCTGTATCAGGCTGTTTTGTTTCGTATGTTTATTTCTTTTGCTTTATTTTATTTCTTTTTACTGTCAGGTGTCAAGATTTAACACCCTGTCAGCGGGTATTTTTCTTTTTACCCTTGTCATATTTTTCCTACTATCTATTTAATACTATACTTATTTTATTACATGAGCGCTATTTAGAAACATTACAGTTGCGCGACTAAAACGCTTCATGTGAAAAAAACTGCTTTTATTACTATAAAGTGAGTACCTAGTCTGGGGGTTGAAGTTATGGGAACTTAGACTGTCTCGTTTGTGGAAAAAGATAGGGTAATCTTCAATAAAGGACGCTTCAGAAATTGAAATTCAATGAGGTAGGTTAATTTATTAAACGTAAATTCGATTTCGACACATAGTTTATGTAAATACAGTGGACCCCCGGTGATTCGACAAACGTTTTGCAGGGCAGTGTCGGACCATCGAATTTGTCGGATTATAGAGTACTGTCTAAGACCCCCTATAGTTTGGATTTTTTTACAAAGGAGTACCTTGTAATTCGACAATTACAGATCAGTGATAAGAATCTATATGTTGTAAGTACTCTGAAGTACAAATGTATGTCGAATATAGTAGGTAAATTAAACAACATAATAAAGAGTTTATGTATTAATATAATGTAAAAGTGATGTCATTAATGCTAGAAATACAAAAAATTAATAACTAACTTGCGTAGGTACTAAAATAATTTGAAATTATGAATAAAAATTGAATCAATCAATTTATAAAGCATGAAAATATTCATTAATTTTTTTTAATGTCATAAATTGTAGATGGGCCTACGCCGTATTCACTTGCCAAACTACTGAAAGATTCATTTCGATTTAAGCAATCTAAAATATCAGATTTCTCTTTGTAAAAGTTTTGTGCTTTCGCTTGTGAGCTTGTGACGACATTTCTAGGTATGTAATACACAATTAATAAACAGTAGGTAAACAATGAACGCAAGCACGCTGGGCCGCGGACCACTATCACCTGTAGTCAAATTCAAAGCAATCAAAACAAAACCTACACGTCGAGCGCAATAATGGTGGCACGCACAAGTTGTGACCCGTTCAATCATGCATTACATATCTACCAAAAAATATTCGGACATGTCGGATTACAAGGGGCGCCGGATTAGACAGGGGCTGGATAACCGAGGGTCCACTGTATTGTTAATACTGTTAGTTGATAATTTACTTAATAAAATATTGCAATGAATAAAAGTGCTTTCAATAAGCTCTTTGAATAACTAATATTTATATTTCTTTATTGACTTACCTATAAGGCGTTTCTCCAGTGTGACTGCGGACGTGGTTGTCGAGATGCTCTTTACGTGAGAACGTCTTGTGGCAAGTGGTGCAAGCATATGGCTTATCTTGAGTCATTCTCTTGGTTTGCCTATCAGCTGGATCACCAGCTTTAGGAAGTGATTAAAATTATTATTATGCTAACGAAAAAGTAAGACTATTTTTACATGGTTTTTTGACAATTGGTAGTAATGAAAATGAAAAAATATTTAATATTTACTAGTAAGATTAGTTATTAGATAGAAAATATACTGAAAATTGTGATAATTTTAATATTGTCAAGAATTACATCCCTGTGATCTTAAAATTATGACCGATAATTTGATAAAAGTGGTGATTAAAACTTACCAAGGTGACACTTTCCATGTTTTGACAATTCAACTGGATTGGCAAATGCTGAACCACATACTTGACATGTGAATGGTTTGCTCTCGCCGTGGTATCGCCTTAACAACGGTATACTAAGATGAGTAAAAATTCCTATTTATATAAATTAAGACTTGCTGATGTAAATTTAACGTACCTATGAACAATAAGCTGATAGCGGAACTGGAATATCTTTCCACAGATGTCACAAGAATGATGACCAGGTGATGATTCCGCTTCAGACATTGCGGTACTTGTTCCTGCTTCTACTTCTACTTCCACTTGCTGATAAACAAACGATCAATTAAGAAGTTAATACAAACTTATCACTCAGAAGTAATAGTCTTTCATGAAAAGCTAAAAATTATGAGAGAACAAATAATTACTTTTGTTTGTTGCTGTCCCTCAGCATTAAGTTTTCCAAACACTTCATGATAAGCTAGCAGCTGCGATAAATCTTCTACATTAACTTTATACATGGCATGAAGATCGTGCTCCGAAGCACCAGAAATTTTTACAACTGCTCCTTCCATACCCATTGCTCCCACACTCTATGTAAAAGGAAAAAGTAAGATTGATTAAAATAAGGAAAAAAATCAAAAGCAATGCTTCCACATACTTTATATCATGTAGACTAAGGCATGGAAAAATAGAGACCTTAATTGGACGCTGTGCATCATCTCCCTGCTCTATAATACAAGTTTTATTATTATATAAAACTACAGCAGCAGTAAGTATAATGAACGGACAACTGAACTAAGTGACCAAATGTACTAGTGAATGAACAAGTTCTAGATTTCAAATGCAATATTTTAGTGCTGAAGAACTTATAACTCGTTTTTTTTTGCTTAGAGTAAATTACCTTTAAATCTATTCCTTTTATATCTTTAATTTCGGCATACTGTGCAGTCTCAAGTTTGGCAGTGTTCTTCTCATCCTTAACGATAAGTTGATCACCAGCGCTAGCTTCTATTGAAGTGGTACCATCGGGATTATGAGTTACTAGGATATTTGCAGGTTCGCCCGTAGCCTGCTCTATACGAACAACACTGTCTATGACCTGAGAAATAGACAATTTCAATTAAGTTGTTTATACTCTATCAATGTTTAAAGCAATTTCAACAATTACAGACAAAGAAATTATAATATTAGTAATTTTCGAAAAAAATAAGATATAAATTTGTGCATAAAAGTAGAAAGTAAAAAAAAAGATGAATGTTCAACAGTAAGTATTTTTGTAATGTGAATGTTTCTATAATAATTAGCAGCCTTTTAACAAACAAACCTGCTGGCCTACGATCTGCTGTAATTGATGAACGGTAAGCGTGTGATCTGTGGGCATCTTGATGGCTTCGTGCAACTCATCCTTGTCTACTAATTTGCCGCCCGGCTCCACTACCGTCACTATGCCGTCTTCACTCACTGTTAGCTGGATCTGGCAAAGGCAAATTATTTCTAATAAGTTAGTCTATGATTTTTTAAGCAGCTTTTATTATGCAAGCCTGAAAACAATATATTAAAATTATGCGAAAGTATGAAATATAAATAAGTAAAATATGGCGGGTATGTACGGTTTACAGTACATGTTAATTTCCCCCACTCAGTTACAAACTTTAATACATCGAAGATAGAGTTCGAAATACATTGCACAGATTGGACACTTATTTAAAAAGTAAGCTGTGGATAATATTGCCGCAGGCTGTCCTTACTAAGGACATATTTGTGATCAGAAAAATTTACTCTATATTTTCTACTTAGTATTTTTTTTATGTTTGCAATAGTTTTGATTCTTATGATATGATATATTCTCTATATTATCAAAGATTATCAAAACTAAAATTAAATCTTTATTGCGATTATCTTAAAAATAATCTAAACATGTCATTGCACTCTTCATGAGAACAGCACAGAATAAGCACAGACTTTAGTGTTAAAATATGCTACAGATTTTGATTCCGAATATTGCATATCATTTTCAACAATGTAATAAGTGAATGCCCTGGATTATCTATTCTATGATTAAGCACAAATAGCGTGACTTATTTTATCAGTGGTCAGTGGATTAAGAGAACATGTTTCTAACAGGAAAATAATGTGAACATAAATATTTTAATAAATAATTTATATTGATCTTACCTCACTGACCTGCTGAATGGTGATAAATAAGCAGCGTGTGATACAGGTACATTTGATTTAAATGTGCACAATTATTTACATTATATGGTAGCAAAAGATATAATATTTATTAATTAGAATAGCAAATTTGATGGTGCAACTCCTTTAAATTTAAGAGTATTTTTATATAAGAATTTCGAAATAGTGTCAACTTACTATCTTAGTCTATTTTTAACAGAAAAATGAATTTATAGAAAAAATAATGATACCTTCCGTTTCAGCTATTTTTCGATTTATTTTTGTTACAGCTTGGTCAATTATGTATTAAATAATCTTTTTTTTTGTGTATGGTGTCAAAAGTATGTATAAAGCTGGATTGCCGCAAATAAAGTATCAATAAATGCTAGCGCAAAGTCGAAGCGCAATGAGGCGTATAACTCTTCACAATCGCAATTGATTTGGTGGTTATAATAATAAATTATAAGATATTTGTATGTAAACAATAATTATGTAGCATTTTTTTGTTTTAAAATAAATTGTAAGTATATTGAATTGTTGCAAAATCAACATTATGGGAAGTCTCATTTCAATAATCTAAACATCAACGTTTTTTTTGTTAGTGGAAACGCCTTTTTATGATCATAATAAACATTTTCTATAGTTGCTTCCATAAAGTAAATTATTAACAGACTCAAGCGCAACTGTATATTATAGAGAAGAAAGCTTATATGGAACAATATTGAAAATGCATCAATGAAAGAGATTACGATTTTATGCTAACTCGGGGAAAAACTGTTATTTATAGCTAGTAATGTTACTGTTTGGTAAATTGTAGAAGTAAAACAAACCTGTTGATTTGAGTGTTCTGGACGAGCAGTGGCCATAAGCTGCTGCTGCATTAAGTGTTGATGTGAATGATGCCCCTGAACATAAACAATTATATTTTAAAGTTATAGATACTTTTGTAATTTGTTTTATCATATTTACCAATAACATTTAAATTGAAATAATTAATTTAGTAATAAATTTGACAAGACAAACATTTATATAGAAATATCAATAACAGTAGTACTAAAAGTTACAAATACAAATTATATGTAGAAATAATAGAAATAATATATGAAGCCCACAATGAGAATCGAAATCCAGCTGACCCTACACGAAGGAAGAACGATTAACGCACATCTGTAGGTATCGCCGTAAGCAAAGTACTAAAAACTAATTATTTTTTAGAAGTTTCCCATTTTACTATTTTCTTATTCAATTATCTGTGTCTTATTGAAGGAAGCCATGAAAACCACAAGACCTTTGTTACCTATATTCACCTCTGCATCACACATGGCTGTGAAACCTGAGCTTTGACGGAAAAACAGAGAAAACAAGATTCCAGAGCGCCATGGAGGGGAGTATATATCAATATCCATATTAAACCAAAAACTGAGTCAGAATATAGGGAAGTAAAACAAAGGGTTAGGCATAAGGATCAATAGAAAGACCTTTGATATCTGTATTCTGCATCACACATGGCTGTGAAACCTGGGTTTTGACGGAACAACATAGAGAAAACAAGATTCCAGAGAGCCATGGTGAGGAGTATATATCAATATCCATATTAAACCAAAAAACTAAGTCAGGAGTATAGATATAAGGTGCAGAACCAAACTAATTCGACATTTAAATTCGAATCTATCAACTCAAATGAAGATTGACTGGATGCGTGTTTCGAAGTTATGAAGAAAAATGGAATAGAAAGGTGACAGTCTGGTATCCTAGGGATGGTTCAAGAATCCGATGTCGCCAAACGAGAAGATGGAAGGATGACTTAAGACTGACCTCAGGTCCCTTTTGGCTAAGAGTAGCTGTAGATCGTATTCAGTGGAAGATGTTGAAGGAAGCCTTTGTCTTAAGGCACACTGAACAAAGTACTTTTTTTTAATTGTTAATGTTCGGTAATAAAAGGCATTATTATTCCATTATAAAAAGCACCACATTTAGAGTATTTATAACAAAAAAAAAAACTACGCTGTAGTGGATCTAATCAACATTTCCAGATAATTAGGTGTCGCGTTAAATATATATCAGTATCGTGTGAGTGTCAACACGAGGTTGAACATTAATCTGAATTCAAAAACAATAGAAAATTTGGTATTAAAAAAAAAGAGAGGCCTAGAGCATGACAATAATTACTAACGATTGATAGAACGAATTACATGCAAATAAGGAGTTTTTACTGTCCATTCGAATGGTAACACGCGCATTGCTTTCTTTTTTCACTCTGCTTATGTGAAACCACTTATGTGGCTAATAAACTCCTACAAATGTTACCAGCTAGAACTATCCGTGAAGTGGGGGTTTCAATTACTTTATATACTTGTTATCTCGAATAAAAGTATAAATTTAATAATTACTTTCATTCATAACACGTTTATTAACTTAAATTATATTTACGGTTTAACTAGCTTGTCCAGCGGCTATATCCGCGTGGTCCTTAAGGAACTGTTTAGTGAGATAATAAGTAGCCTATATGTTTATCTATGCTCAGAAGTATCTGTATACCAAATTTCATTAAAATTATATATGATTTTTTGTCATATTTTTTTTAAGGACTGATTTAATTTACATGCACAATAATTAATGATCGACACTAGTCTTAATAGTCATGCAATGGCAAATTTTATTATTAAACTTGCCTTTACTAATCATTACTGAAAAAATAGGTAGTAGAAGAAATAAAAAATATCAGTAGAAAATTTATATTTAGCTACTAAAACTAGTAGTATAAAAAAAGAAAAAGATTAAAGAATAACTTATGCAACTATTTCTCATTAACATTATCCTAACACATGCTCCAATACTAACCTCGAAGCTCAACATGAAATACTATATCTACACAGCGACATACGATTAGCATTCCCGCTAATAAACGGATTGTGTTACCACGTGATTTACCATATCAATGTTATGGTGTTGTACAAATTCGACCCGATTATTGGGTACCTGCTGATGAGGCTGGCCTGGGCTAACAGTGACCTGTGTGGTGCCCGACGCTTGCTGCGCAGCAAGTTCCTGCTGTTGAGTGTGAGCCACCAGTGCATCTGTAATAATATAAACCAGTTATAATATGTAATTATAACGATAATGAATTAAAAAAAAGGGACATTACGTTGTCACATGCAAACTGCTATATATACCAATAAACAAATATAAGACAACTCCACATACATTATTCCGATTATGTAGCTGTTAGCACTTGTATAAGAAAATCTGAAACAGCAAAGGTAACAAAAGAACCAGATCAGAGATAATCTAGAAACCGATCGAATTGAACCCGTGACCTCAGAGATGGCAACACACAATACAACATTACAATTATTTTTAAAGGAACTCTTATACCCAGTTTCTAAATTGAGAAGTCAAAGTAAAAAAGTTTCAAACTGTAATTTATTCAAATAAAATCAAATTATTATAAAATTGATTATTTTTTTATACTGTTCACTATTTCTACCCACAAAATTCAAATATTTAAATTTCATAACTGATTATTTTTACAAAAGTCTTGAATAATTGGCAGAAAAAAGAATTTTAAGTACTTTTTCCTGCAGCAGATAAGTAATTTATAACAAAATAAAGAAAAAGATCACATGTTTCGACAAGTACGAAACGTTATTGAGAAATCCATAAATACTGCAATATTTTCTATTCGAATTCAAAGTCATTTTTGAAGTTAAAAGAGGTATGTAGGTACACGTACAAATTCCTATCATAGCAACATTTCTTAAATTTACTCGGTATCAGCAGTATGAATAAATCACAAAGGGAAAGGGGGCACAGTGTTAAAAAATATACGTCGATGTGGCGACAAAAATAACACCAATACGCGGTAAGAACTGAGATAATGAAAACGGATTCAAGATGGCCATAAGTCTTGTCAAAAGTATATACGAACATTATAAAAATACTGTTATGAGATCTCGCGAGATTGGAACTTTTGTGTGTTTACTATTTTACTGTACATAATATTAGGGGTTAAAGTATGAAATTGCTGTTTTATTGTAATAGGTTCCTTGAATTGACATAGAATCTTCATGGTTTGAGGTTTTCGAAAGAAACTTTCTATGATGTTTTCTTTTAAAAAATGTGAAACATTTGAATATCGACTTTCAATTGTTATTGTTATTCAACATAGACAAGAAAGATGGATACTGCGAAAATTCGAGTGATTATTGAATACGAGTTCCGACGCGGAAGTAACGCGGCAGAAACAGCCCGCAATATCAATGTTGCGTTTGGAGAGGGGTCGGCTGATGAATGCATCGTGGGAGTTTGGTTTAAACGCTTTCGTGATGGAAACTTCGACTTGCAGAACGAGCCACGAGGAAGACCACCCACACAGGTGATTAACAATGAATTAAGAGAAATAGTGGAAGCTGAACCTAGTCAAACTACCCAGGAATTAGCGGCATGGTTTAACGTTACCTTACCCACAATATTGACTCATTTGCGTCAAATAAATAAAATAAAAAAATACGAAAAATGGGTACCTCGTGATTTCACTGATCTGCAGAAAGAAACGTGTGAAAAGTGGATTCTTTATGACAACCGTAAAAGAAAAATGCAATGGCTGACCCCAGGTCAAACGGCACAACAGTGTCTCAAAGCAAAACTTAAATAATAAATAGGTATTAGTAACTGTTTGGTGGTCTCAGCATGGTGTTATTCACTATAGTTTTCTCCGATCTGGTCAAACAATAACAGATATCTATTGTGCTGAACTCCGAACAATGTTGGCAAAACTAGCCGTAAAACAGCCCCGACTCATGAATCGATCTTCACCATTATTGCTCCATGACAATGCGAGACCTTATACAGCACGAGAAACCGTTTTGACTTTTCAGCACTCGTAGCATGACAAAGTCGAGAAACGCTCTGTCTATACTCATTTGTCAGTTTCTCGGGTCGAGAGTGAGATATCGTATGGACGCACCCGAGAAAAGTGACATTTGAGTGTAGACAAAACGTTTTCGAGTTTGTCATGCTTCGTGTACAGGAACTGCAGTTAGAAACCATTCGTCATCCTCCGTTTTCGGCAGACCTTGCCATTTTTTCGTGATTCGGACAATTATATATGTCACAAGAAGTTTTCTTCTCAGGAGGCAGTACAAAATGCTTTCACACAGTTTGTCCAGTCTAGATCCTCAGAGTTCTATCGCAAAGGCATAAATGACCTTCCTATTAGATGGCAGCAATGTATAGATAATAATGGTAACTATTTTGATTAAATAAATTTGTTAAAAATATGTTTATCTTTTATTAATTTTTTTCACTACAAATCGTCAATTTCATACTTTAACCCCTATTATTTATTCAAATCACAATATTTAAATAAATTAGAAAAAAAATAGGTATTATAAAATAAACATTTTATGGGTATTTTCAATAAAGTTTTATGTATTTAATAGCATTGTTTGACGCAATTATATTTTTTTATCTAAAACCTTTAAAAGAACAATTACTGTATTATAAACTCAGAAACGGCTCCATCAATTTTCATGACATTAACTATTCAGGGTTATCAAAGGCGATAAATCGATTTAGTGAGGTTTAATTTTTTTATTTTATAAAAGTGCCGACTAAAGCTTAGCCATCCAGGTGTGGTATTCAGTTCACTTCACACGTCAATATTACGAATAATTTTGAAAGTATTAGCTATATTATTGTGCTGGCCAGATACTGAAAAGACACTTTCGAAAACACAAATACTGTAAAAGTGTAAAACTTCGCCAGTTAACCCCCCCGGACTCGTATAAATTCGCGCTGTTGCACTTGGAATAAATCGTTTTTATGCTCGAGTGCAATCTCGTTAAACTCGCGCCATTTTTCGACCGAGATCAATCTCGCTAAAAAGGCCGAGATTTCGCGAGAATGAGATTGCATTCCCTAATTCTGTCCCATATAATTTTGTTTCTGAAATTGAGAACGCCAAAATTTTCTATTTCACACTAAAATCACCCTTATAATGTAATATGACCACCCTTCAGTTATTGGATATAATTAGTTGAGATTTTGTACTTTTCTCAATTCAGAAACCGGCTGTTGGTATATTAGTATAATATACTGAGTAGTATAATATAATACTCAGTCTAAGAGCCATAATATGGCTATACTGTATTTATTTACTGCACTGTGTATGCTATCCCTAAAGTTTCATATCTAATTTAAAACATTTTTTTTTAATATTGAGTCATCTATAATGTACAAGAAATAAGTCTATGGTATTCAACATGCATCCAGCATGCAACAGCAATGCAATGAGGTCTATTGAAATTTAATAATATTACATTGATCCATATACTTTGGAATAAGAAATATTACCATGTGCTTGTCCTGATTGAGTAGCAATTATCTGTGAAACTGGTATTTGTTGAGCCCCAGCTGCTGAAACTGTGACTTGAGGTTGGCCAGCATGGTGTCCCAATATAATATTGGGATCACCATTGAGTATGCTGGCATGCGTTTGTCCGAGATCCTGTAACAACTTTAATTAATACAAAATTTATTAATAATCTTAGAAAAAGTGTTATATAGAATTTATGACAATGACAAGATTTCAAAATTTGAATTTGGTGGTGGTTTATGGTGGTCAGTGGTAAATAAACAAACAATAATTCAAATATTATACAATCTACCTATATCTTCACGCTGCATCCCTGGCGTAAATGTGTCCAATAAGTATTGTTGAAAAGTAGCTATGATCCTAATTATAAAAAGTCACCCAACATTCAACATTTCAGTTTAAATGAACATGGAACACAGGTTCCAGAAAAAAAGGATCCCAAACTTTTAAAATGAAATTAAATACAAACACACTACCTTTTCAAAAGTAAATCTATTTAATACATATTCATTGATAAAGAACTCCTTACCAACAATGGGATCTATTACTGCTCATTGCTGTGACAAAACTATAAACCACCAATGGCTCTACCTACTTCTTGAAAAAAACTGAAGTAATTAAATACTTAGGAGTCCACATTGACTGCCTCCTAAACTTTAAACACCAAAATTAAGCTTTATTTCCAAAACGCTTATATACATAGCTAATCGTAAAACTGAAATCTTTTTATTTTGCTCTTTGTCAGTTTGTCATTGGCTACTACCATTACTTCTTGGGGTGGTGAAGCTAAGACTCATATCATTAAGGTAGATAAGGCGCAACTTGCCATACTTAAAGTAAATACATTATAGATGACCTTGCCATACTTAAAGTAGCAGCCCTCCTACCATCTTTTTCCTACAACTGAACTGTATAAGACCAAGGAAGTTTTGACAGTTAGAAAATTGTACATTTAACAAATCACAATTTAAAAAAAAACATTCCGAATCGACATTTGACACTATCTTTATTAACAATGACAAAAGAAGAAAAAGCAAAGTCTGCAGTGAAAGAAAAAATGAAAACCCCTTTGTAGAACTACTACATATCAAAATCATTACTACTATCTAGGACCTTATATATACAATTAAATTAATATATTTCCTTCTATTTACCCATTGCAAAAATCAAAGTAGTAATACACAATAAGAAAATGGTTACTTACACTAGATTATGAAGAAACAGAAAGGCTTACTTACACACCACAAATGATTGACTTAAGCAGTTACACAATAATATGTATTAATCTTTATAGTTACAGTTGGAAAAAAAAAACTTAAATTTATACATATATTAATAAAACAATAATTACACTTATTACCTTGCTCATAAGTCCTAAACATAATATGACATATTGTTGTCTTTACTAGCTTGTTTTATTCCATAAACTTAATTGATCAAAAAAGTGTGATTCTCGCTAATCCTCTATTATTACTGAACTGTAATAACCCTGCATTATGTGAATTCAACATATCCTTGGGATGAGCCCTGGAGACCTATAGGTCAGGTTTACCAAAACCTCTGTTAGGCACTAGCTTCTCACAAACTATATGATTTGGTTTCTAGATACTGTATGTACTTAAATTAAGTTTGTGAAGGAAATAAATAAATAATTATTATATTTATAGATGTATTAAATTGTATTTATGTTCACTTATTATCAGTTTTATAATTATTGACTACACATTGATACTTAATGTTTTACCATTTTGAGTCATACCCAAAAAAAGATAATGCATGACTATGATAATGGAATCAATAAAATTTCTAAACTAAATGACATGAATTTGAATTCAGATTTTTACAGCATCCCTCAGTAGGATATATAGAATTGAAATTTCTCCAATTGATTTAAAATTATTGTATACACAGCAAAATACATGATTTGCGTCATTGTTTTGCAATTATCTGTTGTTATATAGAATGCTGCTCTTTTTAATTTGCTTTAACAATAATATTAAGAGACTTCTTTTAATTAATATTCTGGGAAAAATATATTGACTAATTATAAAAAAATAGCTGTAATGCCACATCTGACACAAAATAAGTTTTATATATTTATATTTGTGGAAACAAAACTAAAGTAAACTAAAAATCAAAGTTTACTTTATTATATGTTTAGATTCAGTTTGCTTAGTATGTGTAAAAACACAGGGAAAGAATATTTGTAAACATTTCATACTTTTGTCAAAACAAAATAAACAGGCTTGTTATGAGTTATATAAAGTGTCCAATGATGAAATGAGTTTTGCACATGATATTTATATTAATTTGATATCAATGTTTATTTTTTATTATTAAAATTATGTAAATTTGTTGCTTTTAAGGATTAAAAACAATGTTATGGATAGTAAATCTATACAAAATAAAGTTGTTTTTAACATATTGGGAATGGTCTAAATAGATTTTTAATTATTGATAGGAAAATAAAAATTCATATAAATACCTGAACAGGCTTTCCATTTTCAATTCTAGCACCCGTTGGGAGGCCATAAACAGAAACTTGTGGTAAAGGTCCAGGAAAGAGATTTGTAAATACCCAGTATTTGGCGACGCTAGACAAAGCAACGTTTACTGCCGCAGAATTTACTCTGAGATCAGTCGCCGATGTTGTAGCGGGTAAATTGTTACCCTGCTGTTGTTGTTGCGCATTTTGGACTCTCTGATTTTGAGACTGAAATACGAAAGAAACAAATAAATATGCTTATTGAAGCACTATAAAAAGACGTTTCAGAGTTCTACAAACCTCCGAACTTCCAGGAGGTTGGCCACCACCCGTGTTGATATTATGGTGATCTGGATTCATTATTAGTCCTCACAATACTTATTTTCAGAAACTTTCACTAAAATATTTACAATAACACAACATTTTCTAAACTTTAGGCATCGACATTGTCATAATTTGTCTGTCATGGAAATGGAGGCGCGGGGGACGCGACGGGCCGCCATTACGAAACTTAGCGCACAATAACATTTTCTTCTACGATCACATATTACGTGTTTTTATAGTTTGTTTAGGGTTAACACTTTTGTAAGTCCTAAGAAACGTGAGTTGGTATCACGCACTTCAAAGCACAAATTATAATTTGCAACAAATTGAAGAACTTTTCATAAAAACATCATTTTTCAATCACACATCCACGAAAGAACGAAAGTTAGTTTTGTCACGACATCAGTGCTGCCAATCTTATCATACAAATAACTTGTGTCATTTTTATAAAATTTCTTTTCTACAATATATTCCTCACCGGCTTTTTTAATTAGTATGATTTAAACAAGAATGATTTTGAAAATGTACAACGACTTCAAGCTTTTTCTTGATCAACAAGATAAAGTGGGTATATTTTATAATAGGGTTCCGAAGACTTACAATAGGTGGCGTGGCGAAATGAAAAGTCACAGTGCTAGCAACTTAATAAATTCACGCCTTCGTTCAAAAATTTTTGGACCGTTTTTAACAGTATTTACTTTATACAGTAAAAGCTCCTTATTCGCGGGGGTTACGTTCCTTAAATAGGCCGCGAATACAGAAAACGCGAATACGGGATGGCATTTAGTATAGAATTATAGGGGATACGTTCCTGACGACGAAATAAAAAAAGCAAACGCATAAAGTCAGTTTAATTTAAGTTTTTGATCATATATACACGTCACATAATATCTTCAGGTTTAGGCAATGGTTTAAAAATTTTTGTGATTTTTTCTTGCTTGGCAGACTTTAAGAGCTTTCTCAGTTCACACTGATATTCAGCAGTGGCACTAGCAATTTGCCTCTTAAAAATAAGACTCGTTCCATTGATGGATCAATTTTCATAAAGAAATCACAAAGCTCATTTGCCATTCTTATGCCTTCACTAAGATTTTTCAGATTAAATGTCACGTTACCAGTGCCTGTTGACGCCTCTTCTTCAATGGGTTGTAAATTTAACATTTCCTCCAAGTCCGTTTCAGTCAAATCTTCATCTTATGATTCGAGCAACTCCTGAATATCACTTGATTCTATTTGTTCGAATCCATCTCGTCCTATTCCACTCGCAATTTCGGCAATGTTTACAGTTAAAGTTTTAATTTCTTCCTCATTTTCAGCAGTCAGAACCGGCCATAGTTTTTTCCAGCCTGATTTCAATGTGCGTGGCTTCAGTTCTTGCAATGATTCTTGTACGTTTACGATGCATTTTGCTATGTCAAATTTCTTCCAACATTCCATAACATTCATATCAGGATCACATTCCATATTATCCAGTATGATTTTGAAGGTCCGTCTTATGTAATAGAGCTTAAAGGTCTGGATTATTCCTTGGTTGGAGGTTGACGTAAAGCCGTCTTTTCTTTTGAAAACACAATCTAGGCGTAGTTGTAATAAGGTCTATTTTATTTATCTCTTTATTAGTCCACTTGCTGACAAATGATACCGAATTCTTTTTATTTAAGGACATATTATTATATGAATATACCGATGTACCGATTCAATCCGCGAATAAGGAAATTTTAAGCCGCGAATATGGGACTTGAGTCGCATTTTTTCAATCCGCGAATAGTGAAAACGCGAATGAAGGAAGCGCGAATAAAGAGCTTTTACTGTAATCATCCAAAAGCTAAAGTTTTAAATTTGTTCTAGCTATTTTATTTAAGGTTAGAAATGGTAAGTGGTTTGAGATCTATAGCTAAATATAGAAAAGCGTCATGCTCGATTGTGCAACAGTATCAATAAAAATAAATATTTCTGAACGATTGAAAGGAATTGCCATTACAAAATAAACTATGAAGAAAAACCGTAAAAAAAATAAGGGATCTAGCCCATACAGTCTAATTTTGTATAAAATTTCTTTGATTTTTAATATTCAAAAAACATGTTGCTGTAACTTACAGTTATTCAAAACGAAAAAAACATTATAACAATAACAAATTATCACGTTAATGAATGCGTTAATCTATTAACGCGCTAAGTACATAATAAAATGGGTGCGCGAGTCAAGTTTTTTATTACATGTCAATCTTTGCTCTGAACGTATTTTATTTATTCTAATATATGTGAAATGAAAAAGTAAATGAAGTATATACATTTATTATCTACACGTAATGCAATGAAGGAGTATTTAAAAGAAAATTAGAAACCGAAATCAAACTAGATGTCGTTACGGTACGTACTTGATTTCTCCATGACAACTCTTGCGGTCTTTCATGTTTGAAAGTAAATTAGTTTTCAAAACTCAATAAACAACTCATATTCTATTTGTACTTTATCGTATTTGATATCTAAGTTTCGAACTTTTCAAATTTCAGTTTTTTAATATGTTAATTAAAAGGAACGGATATGACTGTCTTTGGTCCATTCGTTTCCTGCAAAAACAACTTTGTTTTGCTAGATACGCCATCTAGTGAAGGTGTTACTGCTTTCGTTAATAATAATAATGATTTATTTGCTTTTAAATGGTAATATTTCCCCATTTACAACTCGTGACAAAAAATTTGTTCTTATATTTATAAACATTTTCATCTTTATATAAACACGTCATTATCATAATTAATCATGTGAAAAAATATATTAATATTTTTTTTACATAATGTTATTATTTTTTACTCTCATAATTGCAATTTAATCTAAACAATCTAAAATATCAACTAACTAAACTATGTTATTAAAACACGATCATATTTAACATACTACGAGAATAAATCGTTATGGATCAGTTTTCGGAGAAAAGTTAAACGTGACGTCCAATGACATTTAAAATTTAAACGTGACATTTGAAACAAGATCTAAGATGAAGAGAAGGATCATCGCAATCTTTCATTCGTTTCATTTTCATTTTACATGTAGAAATAAATTTATTCACTTGACATTGGCAGAATTGTGTGAAATGCGCAGATAAGCCATTAATAAAAGAAGAAGAAGAAGAAAGCGCAGTTTACGGAGGCATCTTGAACGCAATGATGCGCGTTCTGTCATTTATAACGTGTTGCGGGTTCTGTTTGTACAAATATGTTATCGTCCATATTCTTTCATTCTGCGACCGCAACCAGGAGTGAGCCAATATTTATTCGAATGTCAGGGTACTATAAGTTTATATTTAAATCAATTTATGGTGTAACAGTTGAATGCAATATTGGCCTTTTCAAATTGGAGGCAAGCAAGGATGCAAAGTTGAACCCAATGCAAAAACTCGACAAGGGCAGCTTTATTTTTTTTGTTATGTTATGTAGAGTTAATAATAAGTGTAATTCGTTAATTGTATATCACATAGTATACAATTGTTGTTAGTAGGTACAGTTCATGTGATAACCTGTAAAGGTTCAAATTTCATTTCAATTTAAATATAAAAGCATATCTTTCATCAGTATTATTAATAAATGTTCCTAAGAAGAGTATAACTTTATCTTTCTACCAATAACATCTTGAATAAAATCTGTGTATTCGCATAAGTATGTATTTGAGTTCACTCAGGAGTCAGTAGTTTATATGACTTCCTCTTTTTACTGAGAAAGTCAAAATAACTCAAGACCTTTGCTGCGATTAGGGCCAATGCGACGCCCATGATATAAAACAATCGTTTACTCCCTAGATGTGAAAATCTATACGATCCTGAAGCAATTCCCGGTCACAAACAAGAACACCAATGCAACTTATAAGTAGGTAATTGATGTATGTGCCTCGTTTGCAATTCTTAAGGTATTTGTCTCATTTGTGAATTGGAACGTAACTCTATAGCGTAATTTGGTTACGTTGTTCGCTGCATAATTATTGTTGTCGGTATAGACAGCTTATTAACTACTCATATTGTATCGTATTATGTAAATCATAATTTAGACATTTTATGAACATACTTAAGTGTTAAAATTATAACGACATACTTTTTGAATACAATATAAACATCCGAATCTAGGTAGAAGTATTAAATTTAAAATACGACTTTATACTAATCCCGACAGTTAAAGAAATAGGCATGGGTATGGATATAGAGGACTTGGATTGAGTTCGGTCAGAGGATGGTTGCTCTACGAACTCTCGCGATGGGCAAAATTTAATGTAAAGTCGGCAATATAAGTCACCTTGCACTGATTGCATTCGAGAAGCAGTGGCAGAGTTCTTTGTTACCTCAGTAGTTTTGACGGTGGCGACATGGGAAGTAAAGCCTGGGCCTCACTTTTAAAACAATTCAAAAATATATTCCTAGAAGTTGGGAATATTAATATACATTTTAAGATTTGAGGTTGGTAAGATTCTTCAATTAGGCAAGTTCGTATTATTTTATCGGTTAGTGACCGTATTCCAATCAAAGTATAGATGAATATCATATAAAATAATACTTCTGTAGTGGTTTATAATATCTTCTTTTTATTATCGTGACTTGATTTGGATATTAAACCATAATTTTAGGTGAAAATTTTATAAATAGGATCATTTTATTTTTCTGTATATTGCTTTTTTTTTTATCAACCAATCTATGTATATTGTAATGAATTAAATGAAAACATGAGCTATGTAAATTGTTAGACACCAAAGCTTCTCTTGATTTACGAAAATGCTTGTTGACCCCAAAAAACCAGGGAGTAAGCAGACAAGTGTGAGTCGAACTCACAAAAGTAGAGCAAATGTATCCGTATCGTACTATAAAAAACGGCAAATATCACGTTTGTTGTATGTTCATTCTGTTTTTAGTATTTTTAATTAAAGTGGCAACAATACATCATCAGCAGTAATACATCTTGTGTGAAATCTTCGGCTGTCTAACTATCGTGGTTCACAAGACAGTCTGGTGACAGACAGATGGACAGCAGTGTCTTAGTAATAGCGTCTTTGTTTTTAATCTTTAGGTATAGAATCCTAAAAATATAAACAAAACACACTGCGTTTATTCTATTATTTAAGTAGTATTTTCACATTATTAGGGGCCAAGTTAGCTTTATTCGTTAAAAAAATAAATACAAAATAATTATTATTTCT